ACCGGGCTCGTCTGTCCATGGAATTCTCCAGGCTAGCATATTGGAGTGGGTTGCCATTCCTGTCTCCAGGGGATCTTCCCAACCCAGGGACTGAACCTGGGTCTTCTAAACTGTAGGCAGATTATTTACTGTCTGAGCTACCAGGGAAGCCCTGCTCTAGAATTACTAAATTATAGCTCGTAATTCAGTTTGCTGTGCAGTCAAGTTCTAACAGCCACCAATCTGGCTGCTTCTGTTGTCCTGATTTCCTCTTAGAAAGTTCTGAGTATTGTTGGGGAAACCAGTATTCCATGATGAGTGTTTCTTTGCTAGTTTAATTTGACAAATCTCTCCTGAAAGTGCATGGGTGCTTTTCCTTGAGAACAAAATAGTGCTGTTTAGAGATAGATTTTTCTTTCTTCCCATTTAGAGGCTTGTATATTACTTTCTTCTAGGGGAATAATTTTATTCTAGATGCTCAAGCTGCTGAAAGTCTATCTACTACAAGGAAAGCTTTACCACATTGTATGTGATTTATCATTTGAATATCTGAAATCTTAATTTCTAGGTGATCTTTGGAAGAAGAATTTTCAACTGATTTTGGAAGAGTTTTTTCATCTTTTATCAAGGAACTCCTGGCTCTAGGTCTATACAGCATAAAGGGATGCAGTGTGTCCACCAAAACAGAGGATGAGTGAGATGGAAACAATTTTGAATTTCTATGGTAGACAAATGAACCTAGCATCTGAAATAATCTACCTTTCTCTAAATAAATACTCTGTTGGTAGAGAAGAAATGTGGTCTAGTTGAGAAATAAAAGTGGTGAAGACTCAGTATCAGCTTATAATTGTGAATCTTTATTTACTGTGTTTGGGTCTTTGGATATTACTCTCAAAGTCTGTGTCAGGAGATGGCGACTGGTAAGGTCTCATTCTGCTGCTCCTTCGTAGCTTCAGACGTGTCTGACTGCAGCCTAGCAAGCTCCTCTGTCCATGGGCTTCTCTAGGCAAGAGTACTAGAGTGGGTTGCCATGTCCTCCTCCAGGGGATCTTCCTGACCCAGGGATCGAACCCGGGTCTCCTGCATTGCAGGCAGGGTCTTCACTGCTGAGCCACCAGGGAATTCTGTTAAGATTTCATGGGTGTGTGCATGCTTAGTCGCTCAATTGTGTCCAATTCTTTGTGACTCCACGGACTGTAACTTGCCAGTCTCCTCTGTCCATGGGATTCTCCAGGCAAGAGTACAGGAGTGGGTAACCATTCCCTTCTCCAGGGGATTTTCCTGACCCAGGGAATGAACTGTGGTCTCCTGTATTGCACGCAATTTCTTTACCACCTGAGCTACCAGGGAAGCCACTATTCTTGTTGAGGAAAATGTTTGGTCCAATTAAGTATTACTCAGAGTTAGTGAAAGTTAAGGAAAACATAATGACCAGGAATACCATGGACTCAAGCAGCTATAATTTTAAAAACTCACAATTCTTCAAACTTGTCATGAATGCCTGATTAATTTTTTCACTTCCAACTATTTAAAAATTTTTTTTCTTTTATTGTTTGTTTTATTATTATTATTTTATTGATAGTAGACTCTATTTTTAAGAATAGTTTTAGACTTCCAGAAAAATTACAAAGACAATATGGAGATTTCCCATAGTCTGTTTCCCCTATTATTATATTAGTACAATAATGATGGGTAAATAGTGGCCCCCCAAAGATATGTGCTCAGTCGCTCAGTTGTGTCTGACTCTCTGCGACACCATAGACTGTAGCCCACCAGGCTTCTCTGTCCATGGAATTCTCCAGGCAAGAATCCTGGAGTGGGTTGCCATTTCCCTCTCCATACACGCAGAGGATATATCCAGATCCTAACCCACAATATCTGTGAATGTGACCTTATTGGGAAATAGAGTCTTTGCAGATGTAATTAAGAATCTTGGAGTGAGATCATCTTGGATTTAGGGTAAGCTCTACATATCTAAATTCAATATGACTGTCCTTATAAGAGGAGAAAACCGTGTGAACACATAGACACACAGGGAAGAGCTCCATGAGCTGATAGAAGCAAATTGGAGCAATGCTGCTGCAAGCCAAGGAATGCCAGGGGTGACTGGCAACCATTAGAAGCTAGGAAGGGGCAAGACAGAATTCTCTATGGCATTCAGAGGGAGCATGGCCTTCTCAACATTTTGATTTTGGACTTGGTTTCCAGAACTCAGAGAATTAATTTCTGTTGTTTTAAGCCGTCCAATGGTAATTTGCTACAGTAGCCCTAGAAAACTACCAGTACATCTGACAGCAGTATGATACATTTGTTAAAACCAATGAACCAATATTTATACTTTATGATTAATTAAGATCCATGCTTCATTTGGATTTCCTTAGTTTAAGGTAATGTCCTTTTTCTATTCCAAGATAGAAGTGGATACACATTACATGTAGTTGCCATGTCTCCTTAGGCTTCTCTCGGCTGTGATAGTTTCTGGGGCTTCCTTGTTTTGACGACCTTGACAGTTTGGGGGAGTACTGTTAGGTATTTCGTAGACTATTCCCCAAATATCTATTATTTTATTTGGCCGCCTCTGGTCTTAGTGATAGCGTACGGACTTAGTTGCTCTGTGGCATGTGGGATCTTAGTTCCTCAGCCAGCATCCCCTGCATTGCAAGGTGATTCTTAATCACTGGACCACTAGCAAAGTCTCACATGATGTTATTTTGATTTAATTGTGTGTTACGTGATTTTGGGAGGAAGACTACTGAGGTAAGGTGCCATTTTCATCATATCATATCCAGAGTACATATTACCAGTGTGACTTAGCATTGTTGATGCTGACCTTAATTGTCCGGCTGAGGCAGTGTCTGCCACATTTCTTCACTGTGACGTTTTTCTTTTTTGCTCCCTTTCCACACTGTAGTCTGGAAAGAAGTTGCTATATATAGCCCGCACTTAAGAAATGAAGAGCTATGCGCCATCTCCTTGAGGGCAGATTATCTGTAAAAACTAATTTGGATTCACCCGGACAGGATGCCTCTTCTTCGCATTTATTTATTCAATCACTTGTTATATCAGTAAGACTCATAGATGTTTATACTTTGAGTTGTGCTCAGTCGCTTCAGTCATGTCTAACCGTTTGCGACCCTATGGATTGTAGCTCATCAGGCTCCTCTGTTCATGGGGTTCACCAGGCAAGAATGCTGGAGTGGGTTACCATGCCATTCTGCAGATCTCCACTCAAGGACTGAACCAGTGTCTCCTAAGTCCCCTCCATTGCAGGCAAATTCTTTACTGCTGAGCCACCTGGGAACCCCGAGTTTAATACTATTTATTATTATTTTGCTAAGACAGCTTTGGTCACTGAGAGCTCTTTCAGTTGTCTCCTATGCCCCTTTGACAGACCCTATCACTGTGGAATTTTTTTTTTAACATTTAATTACTGGCAGTACAGATGTTCCAGGCTCATCTTGCTTATTTCCTGTGCCAGTCCACAGAATCAGCCATTTCCACAGGAAGCCTCAGTTCCCTTAATTGGAGAATGTAATTAGAAACTAAAATCTGGCCTTTGGATGTGCTTATTACCACCAGGTGTTTGTTGCTTCTAGGCCTTCTCAGCTCACACACGTACATGTCTGTATTCTAACTCCTTCCTATAAATACACATATTTTAATGTGCATAATAAATATAATAAATGCATATAGTGATATTTCTATATGTAACCATCTTTGTCTAACTTAAGCTATTCATGAGTTCATACTGATGTCTCCACCTCTAATTCACACCCACATAGGTCATTCTAACCTCCTTCCCTGCTGATCTTTAAACTCCCAATAGTTAGTGACAAACCTGGTTGCCCCCCCCATCCATTTACCTGATTATTCAATTCCAGTATAGAAATATCAGAATTATTTACCTATATTCTTATGGAAAATAACCTTATCAACTAAAGTGTAGCACTATGTACAGTTTCTTTTGCCTTTAGTGTTATATACTTTACTCATTTCCAAAGTTACTAAGGTCAGCAATTTTTTCCTTCCCCCCTTTTGTTGAGATTGTTTCATATATTCATAATAGAATTAGCTTGTTTTGTTATATCCCACATTTCATTGTGGGATTCCTCTTGACCTCCCAAATAATTTTTTAAAAATTTCAACTTTTATTGGAAAGAGTTAAAAGAAACAAATACAGAAACCAAACTAATGAACACATGACTACATGTGTATTTATAATTAACATTTTGTCATACTTGTTTCAGTTTTTTTAAAAAGACATTTAAAGAACAGATTAAGTCCTCTTGTACTTCTTAATTCCATTTCTCTTCCTTTTTACCCAAGGACAGTTACTGTTACAACTGTGTCTTTTCCCCCACTCCATGATTTTTTACTTTATTAGGTGTACTTGTGACCCTAAACAATAAATCCTGTAGTTCTGTGAGTTCTAAGAACATTTATATGAATGATGTGACTTTGTAGGTATCTTTCTAAATCATGCTTATTTTACTGTTAAATAGTATGCTACTAAGATCCATCTATGGTTGATAATGTTTGTGCTGGAATGCCTTTACAGTGTTTAGTTAAATGAATATACTGCATTTTATTCATCTGTTTATTAATTGACATTTAGATTGGGCTATGTTTTTGCTATTTCATGTGCTGTATTAACATCCTTGTATATATCTCCTCATGCATATGTGAAAGAATTTCCTTACACTGTATAGCTAGAAGTGAAATTGTTGGATTGTGTGGCATGTACATTTTCTGTTCTACATTTGCTATTATTTTAGAAATGACCAGTTTGCCTCTAATGTGATTTTACTAGTTTCCCACATCCTCGGCATCACTTGAAACTGCTGACTTTTTATTTTTGCTAATCTTATAGGTATGATCAATTGTCTTTCCCAGATTTTTAGAGACTGTGGAACCAATCACCTCATTTTCTCAGGAACTAGAACTAATTTTGATAGGAGCTTGAGTGTTTATCCTTGGGGCTATTTATTAGTTTCTAATAGCTTTTTATGTTATTTTCAAAGGTGTCTGCTTATCCAGGAGTTACAAAGTTGTTTTGGAATCTAACTTCACCCAAATTCTCTGTTCCAGTATCTGTCATGAAGGAAACTGTATATCCAAAATATGAGGTAAAATGCAGAATGACTTTTCTCTATTGTTGTTTACTAATTAAACTGTATAATTAATTATGAAATTAAATTTTACTGGAAGTTATTATGTAAATTGTCAGTAAAGACTGCAATAACTGAATGATTGGATGGCACTATAGAAAGTATGCATATAATAAATAATATATATATATTGTATGTGTGTACATATATACACATATACTTATAAGCTTATGACTATGTGTACACTTATACATGTACACTTATAGGTATATTTCTAAGAAAATGGTTGGACTTATCCATGTTACTTTAGCTAGTCAAGAAGAATATTCTCTTTTCTTTCTGAAAGAATTATTTGACTGACCAGGTATAAAGCATCTTGGGCTGTTTAGAAGATCTTTATGATATGTTCATTTGCTTTTAAAAGTGAATTTTTAGTTATTGTTTAAAAAAGTTTAAAACTACCTAATACAATTATTAGTCTATTTTCTTCTTCCCTAAAGGTGTTTAGCATTTTATGTTACACTACTTATTTTAAAGGGCTTCCCTGGTGGCTCAGATGGCAAAGAATCTGCCTGCAATGCAGGAGACCCGGGTTCAGTCCCTGGGTTGGGAAGATCCCCTGAAGAAGCAAATGGCAACCCACTCCAGTATTCTTGCCTGGAGAATTCCATGGACAGAGGAGCCTGGTGGGCTACAGTCCGTGGAGTCTCAAAGTAGAAAAATCCAGAGAGGAAAACCAAAATAGTCTATTATTTTTCTCCCTCAAGACAATTACTGTCCACTGTTTAGTCCACTCTCTTTCATTGTTAAAAGTTCTTTTTCTTCTTCCTCCTCTTCCTTTTTTTCTCCTTTCCCCCTTTTCTTCTTCCTACTTATATTTCCCTCTTAAAATAATTCTGTGATGAACATCATTGTACATAAAGTTTTAATGGTATTTAGAATCATTTTATTTGCATAGGCTCCTAGATAGATTACTAATAACACACATATGAGAAAAGAATAAGACAAAAAAATTAATCATAGGGAAAGAACAACCAGGGTAATAGCATAAGTCAGACATAAAATTAAAGAAATTCTGTTCATTTATGCCTTTGCTTGAAATGGGGTCAACATCAGTGTTGATGTTGAAACATCTTTACATTCCTTGCATTACTTAATTATGATGTATTATTCTTAAATATTATATTAAATTCTGTTAGGCAATATTTTGATTGTTTTTTAAAAACATATACTAATGAGTGAAATATGTATGTAGGATATTTTTTGTTGGACTCTTATCATGGTTATTCTTGCTTTATAAAGTTAATTGGTTAACATTTCATTTTTTTAATACTCTGGAATTAAAAGAACATAGGAATAATCTTGAAAGTGTGGAAGAATTCACTGTCTAGGAACATTTGAGCTATTTGGGAAGGTAATTTTTGACAATTAAAGCCTTTTATTTTCTAATTCTTAGGTTACTCTTGCTTAATATTTTTTCTCAAGGCAATTGGTAACATATACTCTTACAAAAAGCCATCTATTCAGTTGAAATTTGTAAGTTTATATGCAGAGTTTGTATATAGTCTCTCTTTAGTTTTAATCTCCATTTCTAAATTTCTATTATTTTCTTTACCATTTCTAATGATATTTGGGGAATTTTTTTTCCCCCAAAATAAATTTTCTAGAAGTGAATTCAGTCTTTTTTTTTCAGGGATCTTTTCCCATTTATTTTCAAGTACAGATGCTTTATTTTCTACCCATCAAATTGCTCTACTCACACTAGTGTAAAACCATCCATTTAATTTTTTTTTTTAGCAAGGTTTTTGATGTATGATTATGGGCTTCTCTGGTGGCTCAATGGTAAAGAAAGAATCTGCCTGACAGTGCAGGAGACATGTGTTCAATCCCTGGCTAGGGAAGATTCCCTGGAGAAAGAAATGGCAACCCACTCCATTATCCTTGCCTGGAAAATCCCATGAACTGAGAAGCCTGGTGGGCTACAGTCCATGAGGTCAGACATGACTTAGTGATTAAAAAACAGTATCTGAGTCACTGTGCTATACATCTGAAACTAAAACAACATTGTAAATCTACACATCAATTTAAGAATAAAAATCTCTCTTCCCCTTCCACAGTTATTGGATCATGATCTGAAGGCAAACGCTGCCTACTGCTCCTTCTCTCTTTATCCTCCATTGGCAGCATCTGCTTCTAACTGAACTGACAGAATAGAGGAATCTGTGATGTTAGTCTAGTGTTATCTGAACTGTGTGTTTATAAAGCCTGGACACATATTTTTCTGTCTTTATGTGTATAAAAGTGTGGATATAAGGAATTGAGAGTAGGCAGAATTGTCTGAACAGAAATAAAAATTGCAGCAATTTTAAGAAGTTTGGTTAGAACTGTTGAAAATGGAGTAACACATTACAAAGTTAGTTCAAAAATACATTGCTCTTGGTGATTGTTCAAACCAGTGACCAGAAGGACAAAGATCCAACAGGACTTTCTGGTACAATAAGAGGGCCCAGGACACTTTCCGTTCACTAGAACTGGAATCAGACCTTTGTTCAAAGACTGTTGTTTCCTTTGAATGGGAAATTCATTTAGATACAAAGATCTGTGTGCCTCATTTTTAAAAAGCAAATTTTACCTATTTACATATACTATGATTATTGGTGTTTTTTGTTTTATCCTGCCATTTGATTTTTGTTTTTTATAGATGCTGCCTTTTTTTTTTAATTTAGACAAACTAAGCAATTTACTCAATTGTTCTAAAAAACAGATACTTCCATTATAAAATGAAGAATTTACAAAGTCTTAATAGTTAGCAGTAGCCCAGAGATCAAAATGAAACTTAATTGTACAATGACAGATTTAGTACTAATTACATAGCAAATTTGCCAAAATGTTGCAGTCGCCTTCTTTGCCTGCAAATTCATAAGTTAGATATTGCCTTTTGTTTGTTTTATCTTCTTTTTATTTCTTTTCTTAAATTTGTCTTTTTTGTTATCCCTTTTAAAAAAATTTCAGTAGTCTGAGTATAATATATTCTGATTTTATTTTTATTTTAAATATTTGGATAAATTGTATTTTATCATCCCTGTTTTGGAAGTTATGTATATTGTTTCTTATTCCTATGGTGGTCTCCCTAGAACATACATGTTTAACTTATCAATATCTAATATTAATCAATACCTTTATACTCTTCCAGGAAACTGCAATTATTTGAAAACTTGTTATATTTACTCTTTCTTGATTTAATGTGCTCTTACTTTGATACAGTTTTAGATCCTTATCTTTTAAAATTCAGAAGACGTTGTTCTTATCATTTTATGCAATAATCCTTAGATTTTACCCATGAATTTATCTCTCTCTTTTTTCCTTTCTACTTTTCAAGCATCTCAGACATTTCTGTCTGGAATCATTTTGCCTTCTGCTAGAATATATCTTTTTGAATTTGCTTTAAGGGAAATAGGAGGTCTACAGTTGGTAAAAATTCTGTTTTTTCTTTGTTTTAAATGCCTTTATATTACTTCATGCTTGAGCGATATTTTACTTTGTGATAATATTATTGCAGATACTTATTTTTAGCACACAAATGATGTCTCACAGTTTTCTGGTGTCCACTATTGCTGTTGAGAATTGATTCTTAAATATGAACCCTCTGAAGGTTCTTTGATAACAAATCAAAGAACCCTTTGATAATAAATTCTCTGCCTCCCCCCTTTTACTTTTAAGCTGTTCTTTTTTCTTCCATGCAATTGCAGTATGGTGTGTCTAGTTGTAGATTTCTTCTTACTTATTATATTTTGGAATGATTGGGATCTTTGAATCTGTGGTTTGATATCTTTCGTCAGCTATGGAAATTTTTTAGTTACTGTTTCTTCACATTTTGCCTCTGTCTATTCTGTCCTTTGTTTTCTGGGCCTTTAATAACATGTTTGATACTGGATCCTGTACAATTTCTTCTGATCTCTCTTATAGTTCAGGTTCATAAATTCTTCAGTTGTGTCTAATAATACTGTTTAACTTGTTTTCTGCATGTTTCAATTTGGTTTTATATTCTTTTTAGAATTTATCTGTTTTTTCTATTACATTCTGGTGTTTTGTATCTTTGTGTACTTGTGTCTTTAAATGTTTATCATTGTATTTAGAACATTATTTTTAGTAAATATTTGAGACCTAGGATGGCTGTTCTTCTTCTAGAGAAAACTTTTTGTCAGAACCTGAGATCTGTATCATTCAACCTAAAATTGAGGTTGAGGCTTGAGTTTCTTTGAACACCTGTATACAGAGCCTATGCTGCAAGTCTACGCAAATGTTGATTTACATCCATTCATTCCTAATCTTAGGGTATAACCCTGTAATATCCTTGTGGCCTTGGATACCTGTATTTTGTATATATATATAAAATCAGTTTCCATACTTCAGGAGGACTCTGGGCTTGCCTGTCTGTCATCCTTGCCCCTTAAAGTTGCAAATATGAAGCTCAGATTTGCAACTGTTTTGGCAAACATTTTGCGAACAAAAGCATCTTTGAATACTGGGTTTACCTTTTCAGGTTTTTTGATTTTCCTATATTTTTTTGCCCAGTATCTCTTCATCATATTATTAGCTCTGATGCTTTGAAGATTATCTTTGTCATAATACATGCTTTCTAGTTCTCAGAAGAATTGCTTGTTGCTGTTCATTGTTCAGTCGCTAAATTGTGTTCAACTCTTTGCGACTCCGTGGACCGTAGTGTGTCAGGCTTCCCTGTCCTTCACTGTCTCCCAGAGTTTGCTGAAACTCATGTCCATGGAGTCAGTGATGCCATCCAACCATCCTCTGCTGCACCCTTCTCCTCCTGCCCTCAATCTTTCCCAGCATCAGGGTCTTTTCCAATGAGTCAGCTTTTCACATCAGATAGCCAAAGTATTGGAGCTTCAGCATCAGTCCTTCCAATGAATATTCAGGGATGATTTCCTTTAGAATTGACTGGTTTGATCTCCTAGAATTACCTAGCCTGCCATAACTAAAAGTGGAAGTCATAATTGACTTTTAAGGTAGCAAAACTGTTTCCATTTCCATCTGCATCCCAGCTTTTATTGCACCATATTAATTTTAGCAATATTCCTGTAATAGAGCAGAATTTTTACATCACATATATGTGAGCACTACTGTAATTGCCCTCTCAAAGCATGCTAGTATGAGCAATATACTGATAGGTTCCGACATATGAACCACATTGTCTTTTTACAAAGCAGCCATTGATTGTTAGTTCTGCTGTTTTGATATAAAATACAGTGTTAGGGTTTTTGTCTTTGTTATTATTAAAAGCATTCTTTTAAAATGTAATATCTGCTATTCCACCATATTTGAATATTTTGTGTAAGCATATGGCAAAATAATTCCAAAATACTTGTGCATCAGATAATTTATCTTTGAAGAATAATGATGAAAGTGACAAGGTATCTTTCTGCAATATCCAGTAATTCTTTTACGTTGCATTGTGCTATAACTGTTTTCCAAAAATATAGCAGAGAGGATGACCAGAACCTCAATACTGATAATAACTAAAATAGTCACTGCCTTCTCCATATCTGTTACATTCTCAGTAATAATTACATCTTACTTTTAAAAGTTCATTTTCTACTGAATAAATATTTAAAATTTTTAAAATGCTGGTTGAGATATAAAAATTTCATCAAACAAAGCAGCAGCATGATTTACTTCACCATGAATCCTATGGAACTTAGATCTTATAGTTGTTTCTGTATATCCAAATCACTGGTTACAAGATAGAGAAGTAGCACATTTAATAATAATCATAACTATTGCAGCAGTTTACGTTGCAGCAGTAAATATATATATCATCTAACTGACTGATACAATTCAAACTATAAAGCATTTAAGGAAATTTTCATTCCAGTTAATATTTAGAATGTTTGCTTGTATTTGTCAGTGAATAGTCACATAGTGATAATAACTCTAAATAGCATGTTTTGTTCATAATCCTGAGGTTGATATGCTGAAGAGAGTCAACAACACTCTATGAGGTCACAGGATCATTGATTGTCCTGAGTCCAAGAATGTAAGAAATAATGTAGAAGTATCAGTTTGGCTAAGGTCCAACACCAAAGCCATATTGTGGGTTTTAGCCAAATACTAAGGTTGCAGCTGGACTTTGATCTATGTTTTTTTTTTTTTCTAGAATTATACTTTCCTGTGTATTGCTGTTTTGGTAATAACATTTTAGTATGTAGCAACAGTAATCATAGGCTCTGAATTAAAAGTATTCTACTATATAGTTTTAAACTGTTATTTTTATCACAGAGTGCACAAACAAGCAGAATTTTAATTGAGAAATTTGTGTCTGAAAGCAAGGAAAGTATCATTACTTTAAATCAGCATAGGAAAAGTTCCAGGGTAAGTATAATTTTTAGTCTGAATTATGGGTTGGTGTCCTTGTCTTCCGACAGTTTAGATATTATTTCTAGTGATTTCAGAAGTAATTTCTTGACGCTTTCTCATTCCGGGAAATGCCTCAGTGCATTCACCAGAATGTTTGTGAAGGACATATTTCCTCTTTTTCCAATATGCTGTCTTTATGACACTCAGAATATGTTATTTACTAATCAGTAGTAGGATATCTGCTGTGAGTTTTACTGAAATTCCTAAAATGTCTGGTTTTTCCATCATTCGTCACTGCTTGCCCAGGTCTTAAGTGATCAAAGGAACATGTTTATGAATCTTTTTACCAAATGAGGGGAGGGGATTGTTTATGGCTATGAAACAGAGTAACACAGAATTCTCTTAAGTGGTGACTGGACTTGTGCCCATGATTTTATAGTCACTAAAGTGTATCTAAGTAAAATAAATAATAAGCACAGTTGGAGAGAAAAGAGATAGCGATTGAGGGAAGAAGACAGGTATGAAATTTATATCACTGGCTTAATAAATATCCTGAACTTTATGAGGGACTAAGAGGAAATGGTTTTATTTTTCTTTCCTTTAGGCCTCCAGCCCTCTACTCCCCTTGATGATATCTTAGGATGCTGAGTGCCATAGAATAGAGAGTCTTATTAACCTGGGATAAATCAGATCCCTATTCTAGTCAATTACACTAGGTTTAATATGGTTGTATGCCTCTTTCTGTATTCCCCATACAGTCAGGTGATATATTTTTTGGGGGTAATGTTTCTATTTAATGTAGGTCACTTTTGCTATTTTAATATAGATAACTATCTTATTAAATATTTGTCCTCATGTATGTTTGAGCATGTTATTTCTCATCAGTCTGAATGATATGGATGTCATATTGTTCTTGTTTTTTATCAACAGCACCTAGAACAGTGACCATCACATAAAAATTAATTGAACCAATAAATAACACTTTCTAGTTTGGAATGCATGGACTATTGTAGTAGCATTACTGGTACCTAACCTGTCAAGTATTCCTGTTTTTAATAGCTGTTTCTAATCTAACCTCCCTGTTGCCCCTTGCAATATTCTTAAAACACAGGTATAATTATACCACTCAATCTCAACAAACTGAATAACATCACCTGTCAAAGTCAGAATGCTTATCTAAGCCTCATAATGTGGCCTTGGCTGTGTTTTCTGTCTTACCACCCATTGTGCCTCTGCGTCCGTGTAACCTACATGTACTCTGTTCTCTGCTTGCACCACAGTCCTTGGGGACTAACATCCCAGCGCTTAGACACTTCTCTGTGCTTGTTTAGGCTATTCCGTTGGCCTGGCATGTTCTCAACCCATTCTCAGTCACACAGTGAAAATGTCACTACCTTTCACAGCTAATGGTACCTCTTCTAGCTGGTCAGTCCAGGTTCCTTCTCATTCTGAACTGACCTCTGCCTCTCCTGTGCTCTCTTTACACCTGATTCATGCTATCCTTACAGTCATTGTTACAGCTGCTGTGAATTACAGTTACTACTTCATGTCTTTTTCCACCATCATACCTGAAACATGTCAGTTTTGGTACTTTCCACCCTATCTGATGTGGTAGTACTTCCCAACTCTTTTAGTCTAATAGCTCTCATGGTAAGTAGTATCTGTGTGAATGCAGCCATGAAATTAAAATATGCTTGCTCCTTAGAAGAAAAGTTATGACCAACCTAGACAGCATATTAAAAAGCAGAGAGATTACTTTGCCAACAAAGATCCATCTAGTCAGAGCTATGGTTTTTAAAGTAGTCATGTATGCATGTGAGAGTTGGACTATGAAGAAAGCTGAGTGCCAAAGAATTGATGCTTTTGAACTGTGGTGTTGGAGAAGACTCTTGAGAGTCCCTTAGACAGAGGGAGATCCAGCCAGTCCATCTGAAAGGAAATCAGGCTGAATATTCATTGGAAGGACTGATGCTAAAGCTGCAACTCCAATATTTTGGCCACTTGATGTGAAGAACTGACTCATTTGAAAAGACCCTGTTGCTGGGAAAGATCGAAGGTGGGAGGAGAAGGGAATAACAGAGTATGAGATAGTTGGATTCAATGGACATGAGTTTGGATAAACTCCGGGAGTTGGTGATGGACGGGGAAACCTGGCATCCTACAGTTCATGGGGCTGCAAAGAGTCGGACATGACTGAGCAACTGAACCACTAAACTACTACTAAATTGATGGATTTTAAGTTCTAAAATCAGTAAGAACCTGTATTTTAATTAGTATTTCTGCATTTCATGAATTAACTCAGTTATCACTAGCCAATTTTCATCTGATATTTTAGTTTACCAAATAGCATGTAGAGTCAATCAATGTGTATTTGTCATTTGACTATTTTACAGCTTTTTTTCCTGAGAAAAGCTGCATCATTTGAAAATGTCCAAAAACATTTCAGCACACAGTCTCCTCAATTAAAGGTACGATAATTTTTCAGTTTTTGTTATTGAAAGGAAATGTTCACATTTCTAGTAATAATCACCACCTATGCTTTTTGTTTGCTTTCCTAAAATAGCACGATCATTTGATTCATACAGAGTTGATTGAAATTTTGGATTTCACTGAGAATTTGGTAGCCTCTGTAAAATTGTTGTGGTTAGTGCCAATTTAAGGTTTTCCACATCTCTTGGAAGTGTCTCATAATCACTTTGACTTTACTTGAAAGTGAAAAGTCGCTCAGTCCTGTCCGACTCTTTGCCACCCCATTGGAGTTCTCCAGGCCAAAATACTGGAGTAGGTAGCCTTTCCCTTCTCCAGGAGATCTTCCCAACCCAGGGATCCAACCCAGGTCTCCCACATTGCAGGTGGATTCTTTACCAGCTGAGCCACAAGGGAAACCCTGACTTTACTTGGTATATTATAAGTCAAGTCACTTATATATTGATCTGCCACTTGTGTTGAGCTCACAGTTTGTTTTATGCTGTCAGTTTATTTACAAACATATCTAGGATGCTGAGTTCGAGTGTTTAATCCTTTTTTCAGAGATTGCACCTCTTAATATGATCCTCTTCATGTCTGTCTCATGGATTACTTCTTAAGCAGTTGGTGTCTTACTGTAAAGAAAGGTGCAGTAAATCCAGACCCGAAGAGCAAAGTCATCATAGTTAGTAACCTCCACTTGTTTTCCGCTGAAAATGGAATATGCTTCCATGGGCCCTCCTCATAGTGGCTCCAGGTTGTGAACTTCCAGATGCTCTGTCCCAGCGTAGCACTGTTGGAAGCTCTGCAAAAGGCGTAGAGATTGAAGGCGGAAGAAATGGTGGGAGTACATGAAGCCCTCCCTTCCTCGTGACCTGGTTCCCTGGTGTGCCAGGCTCACCGTTTTAAAGCATCGATCATAAGTGAGGGACACCTACTTACTGATCTTATAGCAGCTGCTGGAGAGGCGGAAACCTGTTGGGACTTCAGATGTGCTGCTGGGCACCATTTTTAAATCATTCTAGTTTACTGATGAGGGAGCTGGTGGGTGCCATTTTTGGCGTTCTCCCGATAACCTGCTAGTCCCAACGGGCATGCTCCAGCACATACCTTGTGCAGCAGCTATACTGGAACTGGGTTGGGTGAGTGTACCAAACTCTGCAAACCCTGTGACACAGCTGTGTCGTGCAGGGCAACTGTCCCAAGTCCCACCCGCCTGTGCCACAGCAGCCGTGCCCCAGCTGGGCTGGGCGAGCTAGTGCACCAAGCCTTGCTCTCTCTGCAGTGGCTGCAGCCTTGCAGTAACTGGCAGGTGATCACAGCACCCACCGGAGCACCCTCGAAGAACCTGGCTCAGGTGCCAGGGGAGATTGTGCTTCTGGGTCCCATGGATCATTTCCTACTCAAGACTCCTTCAGGCCTGGGAGAGGTGCTGGTTTGCCTCATTCGTATAGAACACAGAGAATCAGGCCAAGTGCAGAGACAGGAATGTGTTCCTAAAGAGTTCAACGTCACAGTCAAAAGATGCTCACCAAATTTGGGAGATAAAGAGACAGAAAATGTAAGAAAATACTGAACACAAGTTATAACTGAACTGAAAAATATACTTAAAGAGTTAAAACAGCAAACTGGATGAAGGAGAAGCATGAAGGACAAGCAAGAGGGAAAAGCAACGGAGATCATTGTTAGGCAGAAAAATGAAAAAAGAATTTAAAAAAGTGAGGATACCTTAAAGGACTTCTGGTACAACATCAGGCAGAATAGCATTCACATTATAGAGGTCCCAGAAGGAGAAGAGGGAAAGGGCCAGAAAAATTATTTGAAGAATAATTTTATGTTTTACTTTTTTCAGGCATATTCTACTTTTTCTTGGTACATACATATGTTTATTTTTTGATATATATATATGTACACGTATATATATTCTATAGTCGGTATTTCTCTGTTCTCTGTTCTAAGTCCATATTGAGTTAAATACAGTTTCTTGACATGAGAAAAGTATATATAGTAAGTCACAGAGAAGGTCAATATCTCTATTACATTTTATTACATCTTAAAATATACAACTAGCTTGTATGGAATTGTTATTTGTGTTTGGAATTTGGGTCTATATTCACTGTTAAGAAAAATATTTCTGTAATGAGTTATTTACTAGCAAAATTAAATGCAATTATTTATTGACAGTAGTTCAATAGGCAAGAAATGCTATATCAAAGGATTGGAGCTAATCTCTCTTTTATTTGTAATGAATGTTGTTAGAGTTTCAAATACTAATGCATAATTATTAAAAATTATTCACTAATGTATTATAATATTAATATCATTATTGAAAATTAAGTTGATTCTCTAATGATTAGATAAAATGAATATTAGGTTGAAATTCTGTTATGTAAGCCTATAAATATTAAATTGAAAATAATTGAATACTAAGTATAGGAATTCAGTGTTATTAAGGTGCTTTTGAAAATAGACTTACAAATTGATTTATTGAAGTGAGACATTTTAATAATTTTTGCTCTGCCTGCAATGCAGGAGACCCCGGTTTGATTCCTGGGTTGGGAGGATCTGCTGGAGAAGGGATAGGCTATCCATTTCAGTATTCTTGGGCTTTTCTGGTGGATCAGCAGGTAAAGAATCCACCTGCAATGTGGGAGACCTGGGTTCAATCCCTGGGTTGGAAAGACCCCCTGGGGAAGGGAATGGCTACCCACTTCAGTATTCTGGCCTGGAGAATTCCATGGACTATATAGTCCATGGGGTAGCAAAGAGTTGGATATGACTTAGCACCTTTCACTTCACTCACCATTTTTTTGCATTAAACTACAAGTAGAGCACATACTTTATTTGGATATGTAAAGAGTGTTCTCTTTAAATTAATAATATATAAAATCACAATTCCTATATACTTTATGGTGTTATTTTTATATAGCTAATGAAATGTCATGTGACCAAATTATTGTACTTTGCTTTAACTAACCCACTGTTAACTTATAAGCTCACTTGAAATACATCAAGAATAGATGATTTGAAATTTTTCAATAGTGACCAAATTACATTAACAGTAATTATAACTGAATTAATTTAAAATGTATAGCAACTAAATTGATTTTATATTTTTCAATTTTTTGTTTCCTTATGAATAAGAGAGTAAAATCTGCAGTTGAGTTGATTAAGGAGGAGACCACAGTTCTATCAGGGATTCAGGATGACATGCAAAGCAATATAAAAGAGGTGACGCTTCAAAAAGCAAAGGAGTTGGAGCGTTGGATGACTGAGCAAAACGAAACTAAGGAATCTGTCTCTGAGAAAGAAAATATAGATTCTATCTTAGACTACATGCATGGCAGATATGGTTCAAGAGACCTGTCTTACACTCTCATTGAAGCATCTCGACAAGCTGGCATTACTTACATTGTTTATCCCAAGAAAAAGAAGATGAGACGGAGGAGAGGACTGAGGCTCAGTAAACTTACACTTGTGTATGATGAGTTATCCAAGCCTCCAAAAATTCTTAAAAGGTCTCGTTTAATCAACATTTGTTATAGTTTAAGAAATATATTATGGTTTGGGTCTTAGTTTTATAATTCACTCATTGAAGGATCCTTTTGTATGTATATTTCCTGGGTCCGTCTCTGGTTGTTGTTCAGTTGCTCAGTCATGTCTGACTCTTTGTGACCCCATGGACTGCAGCACACCAGGCTTCCCTGTCCTTCACCATCTCCCGGAGCTTGCTCAGACTCATGTCCCTTGAGTTGGTGATGCCATCCACCCATCTTGTCCTCTGTTGTCCCCTTATCCTCCTGGCTTCAATCTTTCCCAGCCACAGGGTCTTTTCTAATGAGTCAGCACTTCACATCAGGTGGCCAAAGTATTGGAGTTTCAGCTTTAGCATCTGTCCTTCCAATGAATATTCAGGACTGATTTCCTTCCGGATGGACTGGTTGAATCTCCTTGCAGTCCAAGGGACTCTCAAGAGTCTTCTCTCACGCCACAGTTCAAAAACATCAATTCTTCAGGCTCCACCTTCTTTATGGTTCAACTCTCACATCCATACATGACTACTGGAAAAACCATAGCTTTGACTATAAACCATAGTTTTTCCTGGGCCCATCTCTGGTGCCAATTAATTTATCAGTCAGGGTCCCAGGAGTAAATAGATAGCACTCTCAATTTAGAATAATTCTAGAGAGGGATACCAAATGGCAGTTTACAAAGATGTGGGCATAGGAAAATCACAAATGATAGAGTGCTATCCTGGGGCTCGAAATAATAGAGCCAGTCTCTACCCCTCAGTATGAGAGGACAAAAAGAGAGGATGATTACTAGAACCTGGAAGAAAGGAATTTTATGGAAAGGATTTCCTTGAAAGAAGTAGTGAACTTTGGTCAAAGATCATGGCTAGTTTGAGGCAACCTCTCAGGAGGGGCCCGGAGGAATACTCTGACCTCACTTGAACTCCCTTTTCAGGACTCCTAATTGAACATACTTGATTAGAAGAAAGCAAGTATTCCTATGTATATAGTCTGTACAGACTAGTACTCTAGGGCAAAGGACAAGGTAGAGAATAGAGATAAATGTGGAGGTGGAAATGAGATCTGTTTGGCACAGATGGTCTTTCCAGGGTGACCTTTGACCAGAAATAGGAATTGAGAAGGAGTCAGCCACTCAGAAGGACTGGAAAATGCAATGCTTTGAGGCTTGCCCTAAGCCTGGAACAGTGGGAGGCGAGAGAGTAGTGTTATTAGAGATATTTGCTGGGGTCTCATCTTGTTGTCTTGTAGGCTATGATGAAAAGTTTGATTTGTGTTCTAGGTACTAGGGAACGCTCTTGGAGGTACTGACATGATCTGATTTACATTTGTTTAAAAAAAAATACAAAACATACTGGCTGCTGTGTGGAGAATGGATGAAACTAAGAGTACAAGCAGGGATTTAAGATGTTATTATACTCTAGACTGGAGAAGGCAATGGCACCCCACTCCAGTACTCTTGCCTGGAAAATCCCATGGACGGAGGAGCCTGGTAGGTCTATGAGGTCACGAAGTGTTGGACTCCACTGAGCGACTTCACTTTCACTTTTCACTTTCATGCACTGGAGAAGGAAATGGCAGCCACTCCAGTATTCTTGCCTGGAGAATCCCAGGGATGGGAGCCTGGTAGGCTGCCATCTATGGGGTCACACAGAGTTGGACATGATTGACGTGACTTAGCAGCATTCTCTAGACAGAAGAGATGATGGAGGCTTGCACTGGAGTGTAGAGAGGAGTGGAGTGTCACTGAATAAGGAAGCAGAAGGATACTGACTTTTCTCACTTTTTTCTCCTTCTTTTAGCACAGGCCTTTCTCGTAGTACACACTTGGTAAATATTTATGAAATGATGGGGTTTAATTTTTTTTTCCTTTCGATAGAGCATGTTTGTTTTCTCACGTGGCTATAACAGCACCAGCATACAATAAATGCTACTGAATGAAAACTGTGTGGGAAATGGAGAGTTTGCGGAGATGATTCTAGAAACATAGCATTTGAAAGCGTATTAGATGTCATCTAATTTGATAGCCTAGGAAGTTTGGGATGAAGTCTGGGATGTCTTTTTGTTAGTCTGCTGTGGAGTAAAATCTTTGCTTCTTCCTGCTTCTTCAAGTTCATGCCCTTGCCAACCATTTGGATACATTTCCTTTTGCACATCAAGTTTTAACTCCTCAATTCTCCTGAGATTGTATTTCCTCTGGTTGGGGGTGGGGATGTAAATTTAGCCTGGAAGGAGCACTGTCCCCTTATTCAGTTCTTTACAGAGACTGTAACTTTAATAACAATCTTCTGCTTTCATAACCTCAACATAGATTCTTTACACGATCTAAATGAATGAACAGAAGGACTTGATTTGCATAAAAGTACCATGTAATTTTATTTTGATAACAGAGAAATAGTAATTATGACTGAGTTGATTTATTGGTTATATAAATTATATTTCTGTAATTTAAGAATCACCCTTTTGCATACTAGATCAGTGTCCCACGGAATCCTTCCTGGACAGAAGAAATATTTGCTCAGAGTTCCACTATATGAACGTGTACTTCGGTGTCCCAGTGTACCTTTGGGTTTAAATTCTGACAAATGTGCCCAAATTAAGAGAATTCTAGAACATAGTGATCCTCAAACATGGTCTCCTGAGATGATCTCTCAGCCTAAGCAAAAGAAGACAACCCCGAGAGTTAAAATATCTGTTGACAAAGACTCATCTGAAAGAGTGAAACAATCACCAAAGCTAGAATTGAGTGATTCTTTGACCTGTGGTCTTCCTCCAGCAGTCATTAAACATTATGAGTCTGAAGTGGAGATCTTGACTGAAGAAATAAATAGTAAGAAGAAATATCCTGCATTTTTATATTGTAGGCGTGGAGCTCTTAATAGGAAACTGGGAAAGTTACAGAGTGCCATGAATGATCTACAGGAAGTAAGTTTTATGTAATCAAAATAATAATACTAACAATTTATCCTTGCTTATAATTATATATTAACTTTTACTAGAATTTTGAATAATGAATATTTGTATTATGTATATAGGATTAGAAAATTCTGGCATTTTCAAATAATTAGCCTTAAAAACACTAGATTTTGTCAGATTCAGAGGCATCATATTATACTATACACATATAAAGCTGTTGAAGTCAGCAATGTGTGAAAGTTTATTTGCTAGTCTATCTTCCCTTAGATCAATTTAAATGGAATTTATACATCTATTTTCTAGGCTATATTCTTGGAGCCATTGTTCCTCAATGCCTATTGGCACCGACATTTCATTTATCTTTTCCAAGACAAAATTAATGAAGCTTTGGATGACTTGAATTTTATAAATAAATACAATAAAAATAATGCAGGTGGGTTGTCTGTGCAGTCATATCTTAAACCAAGCTTTGGTCATTTAGTGTAAAAAGATACATAATTCAAGACATATAAGTCTCCACAAATGGTTGTAACTTTCCTAAGTTAAATTTATTCTTGATTCCCTGGTAGCTCAGATGGTAAAGCGTCTGCCTACAATGCCAGAGACCTGGGTTTGATCCCTGGGTCTGGAAGATCCCCTGGAGAAGGAAATGGCAACCCACTCCAGTACCATTGCCTGGAAAATCCCATGGATGGAGGAGCCTGGTAGGCTACAGTCCATGGGGTGGCAAGGAGTAGGACACGACTGAGCGACTTCACTTCACTTCACTTCATTGTAAATATAGGACTCTTTCGTGATCCTGTTGTTTTAAAAAATATTTATCATAGTTTGAAATGTTAATGTCCTTGGAACATTACAATAAATTGGGTTCTTACTGTTTATTTTGTAAGATAAGCTTACAATTTTTATGGAAGTAATTCACAAATTTAGTCTGAATTAGAGTTGTAGTAATTTTGCATGTGTGAACGCTCAATTGCTCAGTTGTGTCCAATTCTTTGTGACCCTATGACTACAGCCCACCAAGCTCCTCTGTCCATAGGATTCTCCAGGCAAGAATACTGTTGTCATTTCTTCCTCTAGGGGATCTTTCCGAACCAGGGAATGAACTGGTGTCTCCTGAATCTCCAGTATTGGCAGGCAGATTCTTTACCATTCTTAGGACTTCTCAGTTGGATGAAATATATAGCTTTGTGTTTATGTACTATTCTCTAATCAATTTGAATGACTAGGCATGGAACTTTTGAGAAATAAGAAAATGTCATATTCATCTTTGTATCTCCAACACTCACAACATACCCCTAAAATATAACATGAGCTTAATAAATGTTTTTTTTTTTTAATCTATGCTGATCTCTGCTAAAAGTCCATAACTTTTTACTGTGAACATTAAAAGATTATGAGACGTTTTAGATATATAAAAAGGTAAAAGGCAATTTTTGTTATTGAAATGGAAACACTTTTAATGTAAGTATTTATCCAGTCTGTGAGAATGAATTTTGCATTGTTGAACAAAAGAACAAATATTAAATGACAAAGAGAGTAAAATAGAGATACATTTTTGTAAGACTACATTTTGTGGAGGGTGAAGGATTAATCTCTTAAAATTTAGGACTGTAACACTAAATTTTACTCTATTTTCTTTAGACGCATATTTTTCAAGAGCAGAAATTTTCAGAGAAAAAAATGAAATTACTTTGGCAATTCTAAATTATACTCAGGCAATCAAGTGCAGGCCCATGGATGCCGATATGTACTTCAGGAGGGGTGAGATGTATGAAATAGAAAACAAAATGCTGGCCATTGATGACTTTTCTAAAGTAAGCTGTATTACATATAATGTTGCCATTTATATATTTGTATATTTTAGAACATGATATACTAATTATATAAATACAAATTATCTGATTAAATATTTATATGTTTTAGAGCATGATATCCTAATTTATAACAAATTGTTGAAATTCTCTCATGCATTATATAGTCAAAATTAATTTATTTTAGACTAGATCATAGAATATTCATTAGTGGAATTGATATTAACAGTACATCAATGATATTTTTGAATGAATGGATTTCCATCAGAGTTGGGTATGGGAGCATTCAGGCAACTTTGATGGAGCCTTGACTTTCCAGCTGTCTTCTTTGGGACTATGAAGCAGTGAATAAGGAAACCTTTGAAGTGTACTTCTTTCTTTCAAACAGTGGAGAAAATAATTTTCCACTTCTTGACACTGAGATCTGGCGATTTTCTTCTGCAGCAAACCTATCTACTTCAAAGACTGCTTACTGGCTCATTCATTCATTCATTCATTTACTCACAAATATTTATTGCCTAAGGCACTGGGTAATAAAATGGATAAATCCTGGTGAATAAAACAGAAATGTTTCATGCTTACATGGAGCCTATGGTATAAAGAACAAATATTAAATAAATAAATATATATATACTAATATATAATTACTAATTGTGATGAATGCTGTGATGGAAATAAAGATGATCAGTTCTGTTCAGCTGCTCAGCTGTGTTTGATTCTTTGTGACCCCGTGAACTGCAGCACACCAGGCTTCCCTGTCTATCACCAACCTCCCAGAGCTTATTCAGACTCATGTCCATTGAGCCAGTGATGCCATCCAAGCATCTCATCCTCTGTCATACCCTTCTCCTTCCGCCCTCAATCTTTCCTAGCATCAGGGTCTTTTCTAATGAGTCAGTTCTTTGCATCAAGTGGCTGAAGTATTGGAATTTCAACTTCAGCATCAGTCCTTCCAATGAATATCAGGACTGATTTCCTTTAGGATAGGCTGGTTCGACCTCCGTGCAGTCCAAAGGACTCTCAAGAGTCTTCTCCAACACCACAGTTCAAAAGCATCAATTCTTTGGTGCTCAGCTTTCTTTATAGTCCAACTCTCACATCCATACATGACTACTGGAAAAACCATAGCTTTGACTAGACGGACCTTTGTTGGCAAAGTAGTGTCTCTGCTTTATAACATGCTGTCTAGGTTGATCATAGCTTTTTTTCCAAGGAACAAGCATCTTTTCATTTCATGGCTGCAGTCACCATTTGCAGTGATTTTGGAGCCCAAAAAATTAAAGTCTGTCACTGTTTCCATTGCTTCCCCGTCTATTTGCCATGAAGTGATGGGACCAGATGCCATGATCTGAGTTTTCTGGATGTTGAGCTTTAAGCCAACTTTTTCACTCTCCTCTTTCACTTTCATCAAGAGGCTTTTTAGTTCTTCTTCACTTTCTGCCATAAGGGTGGTTTCGTCTGCATATCTGAGGTTATTGATATTTCTCCCGGCAATCTTGATTCCAGCTTGTGCTTCATCCAGCCCAGTGTTTCTCATGATGTACTCTGCATACCAGTTAAATAAGCAGGGTGACAATATACAGCCTTGATTTACTCGCTTCCTGATTTGGAACCAGTCTGTTTTTCCATGTCCAGTTCTAACTGTTGCTTCTTGACCTGCATACAGATTTCTCAGGAGGCAGGTAAGATGGTCTGGTATTCCAATCTCTTGAAGAATTTTCCACAGTTCATTGTGATCCACACAGTCAAAGGCTTTGGCATAGTCAATAAAGCAGAAGTAGATGTTTTTCTGGAACTCACTTGCTTTATCGATGATACAATGGATGTTGGCAATTTGATCTCTGGTTCCTCTTGTCTTTTCTAAATCCAGCTTGAACATCTGGAAGTTCACAGTTCACATACTGTTGAAGCCTGGCTTGGAGAATTTTGAGCATTAATTTGCTAGCATGTGAAGTAAGTGCAATTGTGTGGTAGTTTGAGCATTCTTTGGCATTGTCTTTCTTTGGGATTGGAATGAAAACTGAATTTTCTAGTCCTGTGGCCACTGCTGAGTTTTCCAAATTGGCTGGCATATTGAGTGCAGCACTTTCACAGCATCATCTTTTTGGATTTGAAGTAGCTCAACTGGAATTCCATCACCTCCACTAGCTTTGTTCATAGTGATGCTTCCTAAGGCCCACTTTACTCCACATTCCAGAATGTCTGGCTCTAGGTGAGTGATCACACCATCATGCTTATCTGGGTCGTAAAGATCTTTTTTGCACAGTTTTTCTGTGTATTCTTGCCACTTCTTAATATCTTCTGCTATGTTCATACCATTTCTGTCCTTTATCAAGCCCATCTTTGCATGAAATGTCCCCTATTTATCTCTGATTTTCTTGAAGAAACCTCTAGTCTGTCCCATTCTATTGTTTTCCTCTGTTTCTTTGCATTGATCACTGAGGAAGGCTTTCTTATCTCTCCTTGTTATTCTTTGGAACTCTGCATTTGATTGGGTATGTCTTCCCTCTTTTCCTTTGCCTTTAGCTTAATAAATGAAATATTTATTGATGATGGGGCAATTTATATTTGATTGGGAGATATCAGATAATCCCTTGAGGGAGTGAATTTTTGTTAGCCTGTGTATGGAGTTTATGCTGCTGCTGCTGCTAAATCGATCAGTCGTGTCCGACTCTGTGCGACCCCATAGACGGGAGCCCACCAGGCTCCCCAGTCCCTGGGATTCTCCAGGCACGAATACTGGAGTGGGTTGCCATTTCCTTCTCCAATGCATGAAAGTGAAAAGTGAAAGTGAAGTCGCTCAGTTGTGTCTGACTCTTCGCGACCCCATGGACTACAGCCCACGAGGCTCCTCTGCCCATGGGATTTTCCAGGCAAGAGTACTGGAGTGGGGTGCCATTGCCTTCTCCAATGGAGTCTATAGTCAGGCAGATGTTCCACTGATTACAGCAGAATTGTAACCTTGAACTTCTGAGTTTTAATTCTAAATTCTAGTTCTTAGTACAACTGAGAAGTTATTTAAACAGTTTAACTTTTCATGTTCCTAACTGCTCTGTTTCTTAATTTATAATAGTTAGCCACATATCTGACATTCTTTTGCTTCAAGAGAATATTGTTATAACTTGGTAACTTCTTGTCTAGAAGTGAACATAAATCTCTTTTGAAGATAATTAAAGTTGTTAAGATATCTTTTCTGATCATTTCCTCTATCTAGCACTGATATTAATAGTTTAAAAATTGACTCTTGCAGCAACTTGAGGTCAAACATCAAAATCTTTAGTGTTTTTTTTCCTATTTTAAAAATACTTCATAATTGCTGTGCTTCAATTTCCCATCTACTGTCAACAGGCAAGGAACTTTACAACTGAGTTTACAATGATTTAGTCTGCTTATTGCCTTCTTTGTCAATGTGAAATGAATGAGCCATGCCAATACCAATTCATTTCTTTTCTCCATTTTAGGGGCTAAATAAATCCATATTTGATTTCATTGAGTCAGCCTTAATGTGGTCTAGTATGTGTCACTTTTAATTGGAATAAAATGCTATGATAGATCCAATATAATCCAATCCTACTCTAGTTGAATAATTACTTATAAGGTTTTATTAATAAAAACTTTGGCGGGAAGAAACCTTGGCTTCTTATATGTGCTGGATTTTGTTTCTGTTTTTAATAAAACCTCCCCTTTCTAGAATTTGATGACAAATGGATTTCCTTAAAGGCGTGGTCTTTACATGCAAATCTGAAACTTTTGGCATCTTAGTTTGCTTTTATGTAATCTGAAGTTAAAAAAATGGTTGTAGTTATTTAATTTCCTGTGGGATTATATACTTTTCTTGCTTATTTTTTTTTTCATAATGTGATATGTTTCTGTGACTTTCCTCCTCCCCCTGCCCCATGTAGTGTATCTTTTATGATCCCAAAAGAACAGATGCATTATTTAAACGTGGAATATTCTACTATGAAAATGAAAACTGGATTGCAGCTGAACAAGATTTTACAGCCTTGTTAAATATAGATCCCCAAAATTCTCAAGCAAGGTAAGAATTATTTTAGATATGGTTTTTGAAAAAAAATTTGAAATATGCTCTCAGGAAAGAAAATTGCTTGAAATACATCAGACAGCCCTTTAAAATAGTGAATCAAGTTTTAGAGCTACTAGTGTATGAAGATTTTTACCTATACCCTAAGAGTAGTGAGTATTTCAACCTAAAAGTCATAAAAGTGATAATTTAGAGTTGTTTCAGTTGCATTTTCTAAAGACTAGTTACATTATCGATTTTTTAAAATAGTGACCTGTATTTTGTTTCTTTGGATTTCTTTTCATATCTGTATTTATTCAGTACAGAGAACTGTTGACATAGATTTCCATTCTTTCTTATTGTAACTTGGATTTTAAACTTTGTTCGTCCAACCTTATTGTGCATAATTCGTTTCCATTTTGTTGCTTTTCTTTTAATAAAAATTTAGTTTTGAAGAGGCTTAAAACATATATATAGTCATACCTATTTGTCTTCTATTAGCATGGTTATAGTAAAATAAAGTATGCATTCAAAAATATGCAAAGTATATTGACATCACAATGTAAGTGCTTATGTAACCACCACCAGCTCAAGAAACACTTCTAGCACACCTCCTTTTGCCTTTGCCTCTCTGAGAAGGTAACCACTGTCCTGACTTACATTTCTTTATAGTTTCAGCACATAAGTATGTGTCCCTAAACATTCTTAGCTTAGTTTTGCTGTTTTCTTGAACTTTATATAAATAAAATTGTAAGGTAGTACTCTTTCATCTCTAGCTTTATTTCATTGAATATTATGTATTATTGCATGTGGCTCCAGTTTGTTCATTTTAATTTTTGTATAATATTCAGTGACATGAATATATTACAATTTATTTATCCATTCTACTGATGAATTCAAATATGGTTTCATTCACCATTATTGTACATCACACACATTATGTGCATATCTGTTGGATATACAAGTAGGAGTGGATACCTGCATTCCTATACCTAATTCATAGGGTATGCAATTGTTCAGCTGTAGTGCCAAGCTAATTTTGCAAACTGGTTCTACTACCAGTAGTTACGCAGGCTCCACACCAGCACTGGGTACTATTATAACTTTCAAATTTTAGCCATCCTAGTGGGTATGAAGTATTATCTTATTTAGTTTGAATATTCATTTTCTTCATTACAAACATGATTATTCAGTTTCAAATGTTTACTAACCATTTGGATTTTCTTTGTCTTGTTATCCATAACTTTTGTGTTGTTGGTCTTTTTTCTTTATTAATTTGTATGAACTAAAACATATTCTTGATATGAGCCCTTTGGTTGTATTTATAGCAATTATTTTTTTCTAGCTCTGGATTGTCATTGCACTCTTTAAATATTGTCTTTTGGTAAACAGTTTTTAGATGTAATACAATATAATCTGATTGAATAACATTTTTTTCTTTAAGATTAGTGCTTTACCTGTCTTTATTATAAGTAAGTTTTTCCTACTTGTATGTCATGTAGATATTCTCCTGTCTGATCTTCTAGAAAGTTTATTATTTTGCCTTTAGATTTACAGTATACCTAGAATCAATTTTTGTATATGCTGTGAAGCAGAGAACAAATTTCATTTTTTTCTGTATGCATATTCAATTTTCCCAGCAACATTTAATAAAATGCCTGTCACTTTCCCATTGCTCTATAGTGTAAGCTTTGTAGGAAATGAAGATCCAGGTATGGGTGGATCTCTCTTAGTCCTTTTTCTATTTTGAGGTTTTCTTTTTTTTTTTATATGGACCATTTTTAAAGGTTTATTAACTTTGTTACAATATTGCTTCTGTTTTTTTTATATTTTGAGTTTTTGGCCACAAGGCATGAGGGATCTTAGCTCCCTGACCAGGAATTGAACCCTCACCCCCTACATTGGAAGATGAAGTCTTAACCACTGGGTTGCTAGAGAAGTCCCTATTTTGGGGGGTTTTTAAAAATCTATCTTTAGGGAGGGGGGACTGGGATGGGGAATACATGTAAATCCATGGCTAATTCATGTCAATGTATGACAAAAACCACTGCAATGTTGTAAAGTAATTAGCCTCCAACTAATAAAAATAAATGAAAAAAAAATCTATCTTTGCACCAATACTATACTATCTTAAATACTATAGTTTCATAATAAGTCATGAAATCCAATAGAACAGTTCTTTTGATCTTTCAAAATTGTCAGAGCTTCCCTTGGCTGTTTTGCATTTCCAAACACATTGAATGGGGTTAAACTATATGAAGGGCTTCCCTGATAGCTCAGCTGGTAAAGAATCTGCCTGCAGTGCAGGAGACCCTGGTTCAACTCCTAGGTTGGGAAGTTCCCCTGGAGAAGGGATAGACTATTCTTGGACTTCCCTGTGGCTCAGATGTTACAGAATTTGCCTGTAATGCAGGAGACCTGAGTTTGACCCCTGGGTTGGGAAGATCCCCTGGAGGAGGGCATGGCAACCCACTTTAGTATTCTTGCCTGGAGAATCCCCATGCAGAGGAGCCTGGGGTGGGCTATAATCATGAGGTTGCAAAGAATCGGACATGACTGAATGACTAAGCAGGCATGCAAACTATATGAAAATTGACTTCTTTATTGATCAGAATAGTAAAGTTTCACAATTTTGTATGTTTTAAGTTAGTGGAATCAGCATGTTAACTTCCATGGTAATTCATTTGTATTTTGATTGGGGTTGCAATGAATTTATAGAGCAGTAGGGGAAAATTTGACATCCTAACAATATTGAATCTTCTCATATATGCCTACGATACATTTTCTTTATGTCATTTCCGTTTACACAATAATGTTCTGTCATTTCTGTAAAGAAGCCTTATGTATATCTTTTTCTTTATTCCTATATATTCAATATTGCTTAGTTTTATTTTAGGTACTACATTAGTATAATTTGATTTTAAACTTTTTGTTGCTGGTATATAGAAATGCAGTTGATAAATGTATACTGACCTTGCAATATAGCAATCTAGCTAAACTTTTAAAAAATATATTAAAAAAAACTTACTTCTATTTAACTGGAGTATAATTACTCTGCAGTGTTGTGTTGGTTTCTGCCATATATCAATGTGAATCAACCATAGGTATACATATATCCTCTCCCTCTTGAACCTCCCTTCCACCTCCCATCCCATCCCACCCTTCTAGGTTGTCACACTGGATTTGTGCTCCCTGTCTCATATAGTACAGCAAATTCCCATTGGCTCTCTATTTCTTTGCATCTTTCCAAACATAGAAAAGTGCTAAATTCCTTAACTTGAGATATCTGGTTTTCCTTTAGTTTACAATAATCTTTTGACATTCAGACTACCTGCTCTTTGTTGCAAAACTTCTGTATAACCTGCCCCCAACCCTCACCTCCTCAGAGCACTTCTCTCAAGGTTACTTGAGCTTGAATAAACCTTAAAGTCCTAAAAAATCCCACTAAATAAAACATAACTGTCAACTTATAGGTTGTGAATATTTTTTAAGTCAACAATCAGTTCAGTTCAGTTCAGTCGCTCAGTCGTGTCCAACTCTTTCGACCCTGTGAATCACAGCACGCCAGACCTCCCTGTCCATCACCAACTCCTGGAGTCTACCCAAACCCAAGTCCATCGAGTCGGTGATGGCATCCAGCCTTCTCATTCTCTGTCGTCCCCTTCTCCTCCTGCCCCCAATCCTTCCCAGCATCAGGGTCTTTTCCAATGAGTCAACTCTTCGCATGATATGGCCAAAGTACTGGAGTTTCAGCTTCAGCATCAGTCCTTCCAATGAACACCCAGGACTGATCTCCTTTAGGATCCACTGGTTGGATCTCCTTGCAGTCCAAGGGACTCTCAAGAGTCTTCTGCAACATCACAGTTCAAAAGCATCAATTCTTCGGTGCTCAACTTTCTTTATAGTCCAACTCTTACACCCATATATGACTACTGGAAAAACCATAAAATAAATAAATAAATGACCCAATCAAAAAATGGGCCAAAGAACTCAACAGACATTTCTCCAAGGAAGACATACAGATGGCTAACAAACACATGAAAAGATGCTCAACATCACTCATTATCAGAGAAATGCAAATCAAAACCACAATGAGGTACCATTACACGCCAGTCAGGATGGCTGCTATCCAAAAGTCTACAAGCAATAAATGCTGGAGAGGGTGTGGAGAAAAGGGAACCCTCTTACACTGTTGGTGGGAATGCAAATTAGTACAGCCACTATGGAAAACAGTGTGGAGATTTCTTAAAAAGCTGGAAATAGAACTGCCATATGACCCAGCAATCCCACTTCTGGGCATACACACCGAGGAAACCAGATCTGAAAGAGACACGTGCACCCCAATGTTCATCGCAGCACTGTTTATAATAGCCAGGACATGGAAGCAACCTAGATGCCCATCAGCAGACGAATGGATGAGGAAGCTGTGGTACATATACACCATGGAATATTACTCAGCCATTAAAAAGAATTCATTTGAATCAGTTCTAATGAGATGGATGAAACTGGAGCCCATTATACAGAGCGAAGTAAGCCAGAAAGATAAAGACCATTACAGTATACTAACACATATATATGGAATTTAGAAAGATGGTAACGATAACCCTATATGCAAAACAGAAAAAGAGACTCAGATGTATAGAACAGACTTGTGGACTCTGGGAGAAGGCGAGGGTGGGATGTTTCAAGAGAACAGCATTGAAACATGTATATTATCTAGGGTGAAACAGATCACCAGCCCAGGTTGGGTGCATGAGACAAGTGCTCGGGCCTGGTGCACTGGGAAGACCCAGAGGGATCGGGTGGAGAGGGAGGTGGGAGGGGGGACTGGGATGGGGAATACATGTAAATCCATGGCTAATTCATTTCAATGTATAACAAAAACTACTGTAATGATGTAAAGTAATTAGCCTCCAACTAATAAAAATAAATGAAAAAAAAAAAAGAAATTAATGGAGATAGAATTCAACTCATGAAACTGATGCAATATCTTTTATGCATGTAGATAGAGAAAGCTCCCATTTATTTGGGTGTATTTTATTGACACACATCTCTGATAAATATAAGAGATATAATACATTCATAAGCATACAATTAATATATAACATTAATAAGCATAAATATTTTATTATATGTTTATAATGAAAGCATTTTATTATATATATTTATTTATAAAAAGTTTATATCTCTTTTGCTGTTAACATTATGACTAAACTTTCCTGGGAAGCAAAGAGAAATAACCACCAATTGTTATTCAGATATAAAATTAGTTTTATAGGTTTGCCAAAAAGAGAAAATTTATATTTTTCTGTACATGTTAAAATGAACTTTTCTCTTTTTTTAGGATGTACCGAGGGAGAACATATTTTCAACGGCACTTTTATAAGCAAGCAGTTCAAGATCTTTCTATTGCAGTTCACTTAGAGCCTAATAACTGGTTAGCATTGTATTATAGGGCCTGCTTATTTAGGAAGAGTAACCCTCTTAGAGCGCTACAGGATTATAGTGTTTCAGGTACTTCACCTTCAGTGGCACATATATGGGGATTTAATCTGAGGTTCAGCAGCTCACTTTCATGGAGTGGGATGCTAATGTGGGATAACTGATGTAATATGTGTATCATTGTATGGTTATATATATATACACACACTAATGTATATTTATATAGCACATATATTTTATACTTGTAAGCTATAATAGTTTAGCTAGAAGTGTTTCTAACATTCCCTTTTAGTGTGTGTGATTGTGTGTGTGTTTACGTGTGTATAACAGTGACAAAGAGAGAATATCATATCAAAGAAATCTCTATATATGAACTTCTGAGGCTATTTCTGGAAATCTAGGCCCATTTCCTAGTCATCTTGCTAAAATGATAGTGAATATTCCTGGTGGGATGAGTCCCACTCCATAGGCCCAGCCGATGGATTAGTCAAATTCTGAGTTTTGTAATCCTTAAACTAAAAATGGGAATCCTCAGTAAGAGGATGCCAACAGGTAAAAGTGGCCATTTCTATCTATGTGCCAGTACATTCTTGGTCGCCAAGTATGTCCAGCACAATTCTGGATAGAGAATAAGTGCTCAGTAAACAGTGTCCAGCTGAATAAATTAGCCCATCCTTACTGGCAAATTCCAGCCAGGGTTCAACACTCCAGACATGGCTGTGTTCACCTGGGTGCAAAGTGTTAGAATCCTGACATCCTTGATGAGGCAGAATCTAGAGCTTAAGGAAACCCCTAGACCCTTAGGAAGAGAATAGAATGCTGTTCAGGGAAGTCAATAACAGGTGATCATTTATTGATATCTCTAAGTCCATCTGACTTCTGAAGTCACCCTTCCCACGAATATGCAAATAAAATAACTCAGAGCCCATTCTGTGTGCCGAGAGGAGTCTAGTGTCCTCCTTTCCATTGCCAACAATTCCTGGAACTGAGGATTCTTGTTCACTTCTCTCGTAATCTTTGTATCTAATTACTCCTCTCTGATTGATTCTCCATTTTGGTTCACCAGTTCACTTCTCATGGTTACCATCTGTTACTGAATATTTTAGGGGTCGTTGGATAAAGTTAGCACAGCTAATTTAAAATTGAAGGTTAAACACCCTTATTTCTGAAGGTTCCTCTTTTATTAGTCTCTGTCAGCCCTGTACATCTGCCATCTGGCCAAATCCCTTTCTTCCTGTTCTTCCTAAAAGGCGCTTTCTCATATTTCCCTCTTCTCCATGTCTTGGGTTCCTTATCCCCTCTTTTCTATGCTACCACAATAATACAAATCCTTGTCAGTTGATTATTCAGAGCTGACCAACTTTATTTTGGCCTCAGTCCTTTCCTATAGGTTAGCCTAAGGAGTTTTATCTTTCATTAAATGGACCCTCAAGATATTTCTCTAAGCTATATCTAACATTCATTAGACATTTTGAAACTTTCCAGGCAGCACTATTCGAAATGCTATATAGGGAGTGTCTCAATTACTCTTCAGAATAATGCTGTGAGGTAGGTACTATTATCATCTCCATTTTACTGATGAGAAAACCGTGCACAGAGGGGTTAAGTAATTCTAATACATTTTTCCCCCCAAAGAGAATGTTTCTGTTTTCTAGAGCAGCCACCCAAACTGCAGCTAACTTTCTCCTTGTTAGACAGTCATACTGTAAACTGAGCAGTCAAATGACCTTCAAGTGATTACTTAATCTGTGTGATCATTGCTTATACTGGATATACTTCCCAGAATATAGTACTTTGAATATTTGTGTCCCAGCCTGTGAACATTATGTATCTTCTTTTTTTTTTTTTTTTTGGAAAACTTTCCCTTTTTAGCTAGAATGTGCTCAAGAAACTTGGAAGATGTAGATTATTTGTTGTGTAAATCTCATCTAATTCACTGCATGTTTTTGAAAGTTGAGGGGGAAACATGAGATGACCTCTAGACTGACTGTTGTTCAGTCGCTAAGTCGTGTCTGATTCTTTGTGATCCCATGGACTGCAGCACAACAGGCTTCCCTGTCCTTCAGTGTCTTCTGGAGTTTGCTCAGACTGCTGCCCATTGAGTTGGTGATGCCATCCAACCATCTCATTCTCTGTGACCCTCTTCTCTTCTGCCTTCAGTCTTTCCCAGCCTCAGGATCTTTTCAAGTGAGTTGTCTCTTCACATCAGGTGGCCAAAGTATTGGAGCTTCAGCTTCAGCATCAGTCCTTCCAATGAATATTCAGGGTTGATTTCCTTTAGGATTGACTGACTAGACTGGTCACTGATGAGGACCACATACCCGGAGCCCTGAGAGGAAGTTACTTGTGCCCTATGCTTCTGTTATTTGGGACATGCATAGTCAACTTGCCTGCCTTAACTCCAAGGTGTCTATGCACTGGAGTGGTCTCTTTGAGCTGCGCTTCCTGGTTTATGTGTATAAGCCTGGCCTCTGCTATCTGTCCCAGTCTGGGCTTGTACCTGTTGTTTGGCCAGTAATGATGCTTTCCTGTGTACCTGATAATAACAGGCCATCAAGGGTAATGGCACCTTTCTAACTGCAATTCACTGAAGTGAATCAGAGGTTAGATTCTAGGCCCATCTTTGACATTGGTTTGCATGGGCAATGTGGACCTTAATCTTTTCATTTGTAGATTACCACCAGGATGTCTTCCAGCTCTAATGAATTTGTGAACCAGGATAATCATATTGTTATTTATAAACAAATATACTTTTATATGTGAGTACTATTTTTTACTCACCAAGGAATTACACCCATAGATATGTTTTATTTTATATAATATTAAAAAATAAGAATAATCTGTAGGAAGGAGTATAGGATAAAATATAACTCAGATATTGCTCACAACCTGAATAAGATATATACCTTTATTTTTAAGCTCTCATAAATGATGGCTACGAGAATCTTAGTTGTTTCCTGCATCGGGGCATACTCTATGCAGATCTAAAACTTTGGTGGCTAGCAATTTGTGACTTTGAAGCCGTTATTTGTCTAGAAAGGTATGTTTTCTTTTTCATTTTTACTGATTTCACTTTTGTATAAAATTAAGAAAATACCAAAAATGCAAGAAAAAGCTTTCTCCCCTCATCATTAGTAACCTTGTAAAAATGAGACAAATATAAAGTCATCCTAGAATTATAATACTACTTCCAAAAATAAGATTACTTCCAAAATAAGGACTGTTCTCAACATCTGTTTGCCTCAGCTGCTTCTGCAAATTTTAGGGATTGAATGGGTTTGAGGGGAGTTTATATTCATGGATAACAAAATCAACCAGTAATTAAGAGCAGTTTGGGGATGACCAGGTTAGAACTTTTTGAAGTTAAGTTCATGGAAAATTGTCATCAAGTTCTAAAATAATGGCAAAATATGATGTTTGATATATCATTACAATGTACAATATATGACTCAATGGAAGGAAATCCTCTGTTTAGAACTTCTGACTGCATTTTGTTCAGTAACGCAGAAGAAAAAAACAAATACCATTAGAATATAGGTTCAGGAAGAAACAGACTGAAGGTTATTTACACTAGTCAGAAAACCAGACTGTAAAAACAGAATTTAATTAAATAATTCCCCTTCTTTCCAAAGAAGCATTCATTAAAATGGAAGTTGTCAGAAAGGTTAACAAATTATGCCATTTTTGTGCCATCTGACAGACTGCTTACTTAGCTTCTTTGGGGTAAACATGGAACTTGATTTAGGAATGTCATGGAGCATGGCTTCATAGTGGCCACAGTGGTTTTCTTTGGGATATTTCTGAGTCAGGAAGAGAAAGAAGTGAGTTTCAGTTGCAGAAAGTCAGAAAGCGGGCAGTCGGCAAAGGGTCAGGACTTCTACAAAGTTGGGCTAAGGATGTGTAGTTTCTTCATTTTGAAATAGAGGCATGGAACATAATTTCTAAAGTTCTACATTGAAAATTGTTTGTTTCTAAGAGAGAAAAACAGTATTTATTTGATATAGAAAAGCAGCTGGGTTAATAACTCTGTGGAGAGAATTTTTAACCCTAAGCCTTGCTGTTTCTTACTGTTCCACACCCTTTCTTAGGGAAAATAGAACATAGACTGAGGCAAAAGCTTTTGAGGACAACTAAGTTTGTTATTCAAGGTAAGTCAAGATTAAGTAAAGAAGAATGAAATACTGCTAAGAGTCAAGAAAGCTTTAGGAAATCTATTCCTAGGACAAATCCTACAGATGTTTATTCCTTACTAAGGATTTTATAAAGGTGTTTGTAATTTTTAATAGAAAGTAGTTAACTGATTTACTTTGCTATAGTAAAACCCTGAGAATGAACCCTTCAATAAATTGCTGTATGTATTTTATTAGGTTCATTTATAATTGGAGAACATTTGGAATAGTTAAAATGTCTAAGAATATTTTGCTTTGTCATTTTTTTTTGAAGAACCATTACTTTGGCTTATATAAATATTGGCCTCATATATCTGCTACATCTGGATAACTACATTGAAGCCACTTCATATTTTTCTGAGGCTATTAGACATGACCCTTCGTATATTCAAAGCTATATTTGTCGAGCAGAAGCCTATAGTAAGGTATCTAAAGTTTGAGATGCTTGATTTTTTAAAAAAAGTTTTAATTTTCTGAATAGTTGTTCAATAGTATAATTTAAAATATATCTGTGTATTCTTTTTCAGCTAATTACAGAGCCTAGTGTACTTATAAGCAATGCATATTAGGTATTAAATAGATTCAGTTAATTAGAATTGCCCACTTATAAAGCCTCTCCTGATTCAGTGTGAATTTCTGTCTTTCATTTTCCTTTTCTTCTTTTAAATAATGCCTTTTTTTCTTATTACAAAAGCTATATATATATATATATATATATGTAATATATGTTTGCAAATAATAAATTAAAAACTATCCACAATCTTATTCTCTAGAATGGGACCTATGCACTGGATGGGATCCAAATCATTCACATTTTCCTTTAAATTTGGTTTAAATTTTACAAGTTATTTAAATTAAAAAACTATGCTTAGTATAACATTCAATCAATGCAGTGAATAATAAAAGTTCTTCTTGACTCCAACCAAATTTTACTTTCCAGAGATATACAGTGTTAGCTGGTTGTGTCTACTTTTCAAAGCAGATATTCCTTCCTGCTGCTCCACCACTAACCACCCTGTCCAAGATACTGTCATTTCTCACTGGTTATTGCAGTAGCCTCCTGGTCTTGCTGCTTCTGTTCTTTATCCCTTTTTGATGGATTTTCAAAACAACAGCATAATTATCCTGTTAAAACATAAATCAGATTATTTTCCTTTTTTGCCTAGAACCCTTTCATAGCTTCCCTTGTGCGATCAGCATAAAAGCCAAATATCCTGCAGAAGCCAAAGGTCTGCAAGAGTTCATGTGAACCGGCTTCTCGTTACCTTTTGGCCCTCATCTCCTCCAAGTCCTCTCCTCACGTAGGTTTCAGTCAAGATAGGCTGTTATGCTATGGAAAAACACCAACAGACCAAACTCCAAAGTCACCATCTTAAAATAACCAAAGTTTATTTCTTGCCCACACTACATGTCAATTGGGAGTTTGCTAGAGGCTCTGTTCTCACTGTCAACATCTCAGAAGCCAGTGTGACGAGTCCCACTCGAGTCCTTACCTTCCCGATGGTGGAGGTGGAGGGCCCTCGGCCAGTTTGCCATTGTCCCCAGGGAGAGTTTGCTCTTGATCCCTTTGGGAAGGGATGGGGATGGAGTGTGACCCTTTTGTGTCACTCCCTGTAGATGGAGCTGAGGCCTTATCCAGAAGTTTCCTCTGAGCATACTTAGAAACCAAAGCACTGGCATAATACCAAGGTGTAAGGACATATATTCAAAGACTCATTGCTGTGAGGGCAAATAGCTCTTCACAGTAATGGTTGAGTAAATTACATTGTATTCACACTCTAGAGCATTATGTAGTCAGTAAAAAGAATAATTAGAACTATACCAGCTGATTTGGAGGGATTTCTGAGATACTCTAGAGCAAGATTTAGAAGAGTATAAAGTGTATACAGTATGATCCCATGTAGATAAAACAGTGACAAACCAAACCCTGTGTATGTATATAGAAGAATACCTTTGCCTACAGTGTGGATTCAGCCTCAAGGGTAAATCTGATTTCATGCTGCCTGGAGAAGTTCAATCCCAGGAAAGTTTGTAAAGACCAGAGAATGAGCCTCCATCATTCCCAGTCAAGGTTTTCTCAGTGTATAGATACGTCCATTGTTGGAACCAGGTGGATCAATGCAAACATATGACGAGGTGGTTTATTAATTACACCAACCTGGTCAGTCAGTTTGAGAAGCAGCAGGCCGGAAGTTGCACAGTTAAACACATCTCAAACTCCTTTCTTTTGAATTCCCTCTTGACATGACCCACTCTGTATGTCTACTTACATGTACAAATATGTTTTGATCAACATGTCAGCATAGTAAGAGGAGTCATTTGTTGTCCCCGGTTCATTTTGCTGGAATCTGTTTAGTTCCTCCTTTTGTAACATACCTAATGCTGGGAAAGATTGAGAGCAGGAGGAGAAGGGGATGACAGAAGATGAGATGGTTGGATGGCATCACCGATTCAATGGACATGAGTTTGGGTAGACTTTGGGAGTTGGTGATGGACAGGGAGGCCTGGCATGCTGTGGTTCATGGGGTCACAAACAGTCGGACACGACTGAGCAACTGAACTGAACTGAATGTTGTAAAAATTTGTACAAATCCAGATTATGCTATGTAACCTGTATTAAGAAAAGAATCAATGTTTACTTTTCACTGTATATTGATTTTAAAACATATCTTTTTTTTAGCATTGTTGTAGTTTGTTTTACTCATTCATTTTACCCTTTAAGTGCAAGCTTGTTTTTCCTCTCTTATTTTTAAGTGGAATTGACTTTTTATTTTACCTTCCTTTGTGATCTAGTTTATTAACATGAGTAATGTTTGGTGTAAAAGATGCTGTGGTTGAGGGAGAAAAGCTGAAAAGCTAGAGAAAAAGCTAAACAAAGAAACTAGAATCCATGATATAATCATATTTATCTAAAACTATGTATTTGTGGGTCTGTGTAATCATTCTTCAAACTTAAAAGATAATTTAAAAAAACAGAAGACTTAGCATCTTTTTGTTTGTTTGTTTGTTTGTTTTTACTTCACTGTATCCCACGTTCATTGAGGAATTCCTGCACAATTTCTGTATTGAAGAATGGGAGAAAATAAATATCAGAAAGGAAGCAATTAGTATTACTATGAGCTAAATTCCTGTTTATCACTCAACAGTTGCACAAACTTAAAAAGGCGGTAAGAGAGCTATCTTATGCGATCCACCTTCAGCCAGATGGAATCCAGTTATATATAATAAGGTATGAGCATAGAAATAGAATTCTTCTTGGGATAACTTAGAATCTGAGCTAGCTGTTGGAATTCTTAGTTTTTTCTTGATCCTCCTGACCTCTTTGTTTTACATTTAATCTCCCAGGAATGACCATCTCTCAACCAGCAAGTCAAATATAGTTACTGTTTTCATTGAATTTTAAGATAATTTATGCAATAAGCAGATCTTTCCCTTTGCTCTATCCTTGTTTCAAAACACAACTATCTCGTGTTTAAGTTCTTTGAGACCTCTCTAGATTACTGGTTAGATAGTTATCCCAGATCTCATGAAAGTGAGGCAATATATTTTGATTGTGTCTACAGAGGTACCAAGTATAAACCTCGGATAATTCAGTGAAAAGAAAAAACACAATACTTTGAACTGTATTTCAGATCCAGTAGAGTTTGCTATGAAAGGACCCATTGCAAATTATGAGTTATCACTACCAAAAATATAATTACTAACATGGGAAACGGATTTACAGATGTGGGAAAATAGATTGGAACAGTGCCTTCTGATAAGAGCTTGCTTTATGTTTTAACTCTTGAACCACATTTTAACAATTTATGTAAACACTTCTCCCTTTTTATGTCCCCTTGACCTGTGTTTAGCTTTAAAATTTCTCAGCAGCAGAGTGTAACATTTTAAATACTGATAATTAAAAAAAGACGTGAGTATTTTCCTTTCAGCTTCACATTTGCTAAATTGTTTTGTTCTCACATCTCCATGCTAATTGGCTTACTTAGACTTACACAAATATTCATATGTTTCACATTGTTTTTGTCATATATATGTAAGTATGAATAAACATAATTTAAGATCTTAAGTAATATAAAAATATTTATCTTAGAAAAATACAGATTATTTTTAGCTGCTTAGATTTAAAGAGTGTTATTTCTTTCAGAGGACAGTATCTTCTTAGGATGAGATGCTATGATCTTGCAAAGTTCACTATTTATCAAGTAGCAGAAATGAACAAAGGTAAATATAATCAATGCAAAATTGTAACATTGCCTTAATTTTAAAATACTTCTTTAATCTTTTTATACTATTTGCTATGCTTCTGAACTATGGTGTTGGAGAAGACTCTTGAGAGTCCCTTGGACTGCAAGGAGATCCAACCAGTCCATCCTAAAGGAGATCAGTCCTGGGTGTTCATTGGAAGGACTGATGCTGAAGCTGAAACTCCAATACTTTGGCCACCTCATGAGAAGAGTTGACTCATTGGGAAAGACCCTGATGCTGGGAGGGATTGGGGGCAGGAGGAGAAGGGGATGACAGAGGATGAGATGGTTGGGTGGCATCACTGACCCAATGGACATGGGTTTGTGTAGATTCTGGGAGTTGATGATGGACAGGGAGGCCTGGCGTGCTGCGATTCATGGGGTCGCAAAGAGTCGGACACGACTGAGTAACTGAACTGAACTGAATTGATAGCTATGTATAGCTAGCACAGAGAGTTCACTTGAAAGTCAGAGTTGGATTTTGAAACTTTAAAACATCAATTTTGCATGTATATAATCAATTTGTAAAATGTCTCATAACCTGGTGAATTTTGTGAGAGATTATTGTGTGTGTGTGTGTGTGTGTGCTCAGTCATGTTTGATTCTTTGCAACCCCATGAACCATAGCCCATCAGGCTCCTCTGTTCATGTAATTTTCCAGGCAAGAATACTGGAATGGGTGCCATTTCCTACTCCAGGGGATCTTTCTGTCCCAGGGACCGAATCCACATCTCTTGTATCTCCTGCATTGGCAGGTGGATTCTTTACCACCTGGCAAGCCCTGAGATTATTACAGGCTATATCAAACTTACACTATTATTTTTTTGTTTGTAATTGGAATGTCTTATTGTCTGTTGATAATAAATAGGTTTTAGTATCATATTGATTTCTTAAATTCATATTGTAAACACAGAATATTGAATTGCTTGACTGCCTAAAAACAGTTAGATCGAAGTCCTCGATACTTGGCAAAGTTATTGATAATTGTTCTTTTCCTTTCAGGTCTCATTGAGTTGAGTCCTATACAGCAAGCACTCATTTATTCATTTTGCGAGAACCATGACAAGGCCATCCAGGTCTTGGATGGGACCATGTTAAATAAGCCTGATGTCCCCATGTATATTCTGTTAGCAAAAGCTCAAATGAAGGCCAAGAGAAACAAGGTGAAAAACGTTTCAGTCATGTTTACTAAACCTATTCATGGAATTGTTATATTGTGCTTAGAATTACAGCTTAGATATACATTTTTTAACAAAATAAATCATGCCATTCATTTATTGATTCTTTTGTTAATTTAGGTTATTCCCTTTTATTTTTTTTCCTCTTAAGAGTAAGGTTCCTATAAGCACTCTTTTTCATGTCTTCTGTTAGCATTGCTGGAACATAGAAAATGTAAATGTTTGACTTTCAAGAAAATGGCACATGGTTCCATAGGCTTCTACCAATTTATTCTTGCACCTGTGGTGTATGAGTATTATTGCTTATCTCCATCCTATGATAACTGGTATTGTCAACTTTATTTTTGTCAATTTGGTGCATAAAACTGTCTCATTGTGGTCTTAATTCACATTTTTCAGTTTGAGTGAAAGATCGAGGCATCATTTTATAGGTTAATAGCCACTCATATTTCCTGTTCTATCCATTTCCTGCATACATTTTGTTTGTCTTGTTCATATTGATTTTTGGCATGAAAAAATAAGTTCTGTGTATTAATCCTTGGTTGGTGGCATGTGTTTCATATATTCTCTTAAAATTTGTGCCTGCTTTTTAAATTTTCTTTATGATGTCTTTTAATGAGCAGAGGGTCTTAATTGTAATGTACTTGACTATATCTACTTTTTGTTTCATTGTCACAGCCTTAAAAAAATTCTCATTTGGACTTTCCTGGTGGTCCAGTGGCTAAGACTCTGTGCTCCCAATGCAGGGGGCCTGGGTTCAATTCCTGGTCAGCTAACTAGATCCCACATGCCACAACCTGACACAGTCAAATAAATAAATAAAAAATATTTTTAAAAAAGTATTGTTTAAAAATTCCCTTTCTACACCAGGTTGTAAGATGTTTCCCCATATTTTCTTCTAAGAGTTTAAAAGTTTTGCTTTTCAAATTTAAGATCTCAGTTCAATTCGGTTCAGTCACTCAGTCGTGTCCAACTCTTTGCAACCCCATGAACTGCAATATGCCAGCCTTCCCTGTCCCTCACCAACTTCTGGAGGTTGCTCAAACTCATGTCCAACAAATTGGTGATGCCATCCAATCACCTCATCCTCTGTCATCCCCTTCCCCTCCTACCTTCAATCTTTGCCAGCATCAGGGTCTTTTCTAATGAGTCAGTTATTCGCATCAGGTGGCCAAAATATGCAGTTTCAGCTTCAGCATCAGTCCTTCCAATGAACACCCAGGACTGATTTCCTTTAGGATGGACTGGTTGGATCTCCTTGAAGTCCAAGGGACTCTCAAGAGTCTTCTCCAACAGCACAGTTCAAAAGCATCAATTCTTTGACATTCCGCTTTCCCAGCTCTCACATCCATACATGACTACTGGAAAAGCCATAGCTATGACTTAGAAGACCTTTGTTGGCAAAGTAATGTCTCTGCTTTTCAATATGCTATCTAGGATGGTCATAGCTTTTCTTCCAAGGAGCAAGTGTCTTTTAATTTCATGGCTGCAATCACCATCTGCAGTGATTTTGGAGCCCCCCAAAATAAAGTCTCTCACTGTTTCCATTGTTTCCCCATCTAGTTGCCATGAAGTGATGGGACCAGATGTCATGATCTTAGTTTTCTGAACGTTGAGCTTTAAGTCAACTTTTTCAGCCTCCTCTTTCATCAAGAGGCTCTTTAGTTCTTCTTCACTTTCTGCCTTAAGAGTGGTATCATCTGCATATCTGAGGTTGTTGTTATTTCTCACGGCAATCTTGATTCCAGCTTGTGCTTCATCCAGACTGGGCATTTCTCATGATGTACTCTGCATATAAGTTAAATAAACAGGGTGACAATATACACCCTTGACGTACTCCTTTTCCTATCTGGAACCAGTCTGTAGTTCCATGTCCAGTTCTAACTGTTGCTTTCTGACCTGCATATAGGTTTCTCAAGAGATGGTCTGGTCTCAGGTCAGGTGGTATGGTATTCCCATCTCTTTCAGAATTTTCCAGAGTTTATTGTGATCCACACAGTCAAAGGCTTTGGCATAGTCAATAAAGCAGAAATAGATGTTTCTCTGGAACTCTCTTGCTTTTTCAGTGATCCAGTGGATGTTGGCAATTTGATCTCTGGTTCCTCTTCCTTTTCTAAATCCAGCTTGAAGAACGTCTGGAAGTTCACATTTCATGTACTGTTGAAGCCTGGCTTGGAGAATTTTGAGCATTACTTTGCTAGCATAAGAGATGAGAGCAATTGTGCAGTAGTTTGAGCATTCTTTGGCATTGTTGTTCTTTGGGATTGGAATGAAAACTGATCTTTTCCAGTCCTGTGGCCACTGCTGAGTTTTCCAAATTTGCTGGCATATTGAGTGCAGCACTTTCACAGCATCATCTTTTCAGATTTGAAATAGCTCAACTGGAATTCCATCACCTCCACTAGCTTTGTTCATAATGATGCTTCCTAAGGCCCACTTGACTTCACATTCCAGGATATCTGGCTCTAGGTGAGTGATCACACCATTGTGGTTATCTGGATCTTTTGTGAAGATCTTTTTTGTATAGTTCTGTGTATTCTTGCCACTTCTTCTTAATATCTTCTGCTTTCATTAGGTCCATACCATTTCTGTCCTTTATGGTGTCCATCTTTGCATGAAAAATTCCCTTGGTATCTAATTTTCTTGAAGAGATCCCTAGTTTCCCATTCTATTGTTTTCCTCTATTTCTTTGCATTGATCACTGAGGAAGGCTTTTTTATCTCTCCTTGCTATTCTTTGGAACTCTGAATTCAGATGCTTATATCTTTCCTTTTCTCCTTTGCCTTTCACTTCTCTTCTTTTCTCAGCTATTTAAGGCCTCCTTAGACAACCATTTTGCCTTTTTGCATTTCCTTTTCTTTGGGTTGGTCTTTATCACTACCTCCTGTACAAAGTCATGAACCTGTGTCCATAGTTCTTCAGGCACTCTATCAAATCTAATCCCTTGAATCTATTTGTCACTTCCACTGTATAATCAAGAGGGATTTGATTTAGGTTATACCTGAATGGGCTAGTGGTTTTCCCCACTTTCTTCAATTTAAGTCTGCATTTGGCAATAAGGAGTTCATGATCTGAGCCACAGCCAGCTCCTGGTCCTGTTTTTGCTGACTGTATAGAGCTTCTCCATCTTTGGCTGCAAAGAATATAATTAGTCTGATGTCAGTGTTGGCCATCTGGTGATGTTCATGTGTAGAGTCATCTCTTGTGTTGTTGGAAGAGGGTGTTTGCTATATCCAGTGTGTTCTCTTAGCAAAACTCTGCTAGCCTTTACCCTGCTTCATTTGTATTCCAAGGCCAAATTTCCTGTTACTCTAGGTGTCTCTTGACTTCCTACTTTTGCATTCCATTCCCCTATGATGAAAAGGATATCTTTTTTGGGTGTTAGTTCTGAAAGGTCTTGTAGGTCTTCATAGAACCATTTAATTTCAGCTTCTTCAGCATTACTGGTTGGGACATAGACTTGGATCACTGTGATATTGAATGGTTTGCCTTGGAAACGAACAGAGTTCATTCTGTCATTTTTGAGTTTGCACCCAAGTACTGCATTTCGGACTCTTTTGTTAACTATGATGGCTACTCCATTTCTTCTAAAGGAATCTTGGCCATAGTAGTAGATGTAATGGTCTTCTGAGTTAAATTAGCCCATTCCAGTCCATTTTAGTCCACTGATTCCTAAATTGTTGATGTTCACTCTTGCCATCTCCTGTTTGGCAACTTCCCATTTACCGTGATTCATGGACCTAACATTCCAGGTCCCTATGCAATATTGTTCTTTACAGCATTGCACTTTACTTCTATGACCAGAGGATGTTGTTTTTGCTTTGGCTCCATCTCTTCATTCTTTCTGGAGTTATTTCTCCACTCTTTTCCAGTAGCATATTTGGCACCTACCGACCTGGGGAGTTCATCTTTCAATGTCCTAACTTTTTGCCTTTTCATACTGTTCATGGGGTTCTCAAGGCAAGAATACTAAAGTGGTTTGCCATTCTCTTCTCCAGTTTAAGATCTCACTCTACCTTAAATAGGTATTTTTGAATGTGAGATATTGATAAAATTTCAATTTTCCCCATATGGATACTCAGATGTTCCAGTATCATTTACTGAAGTGTTCTCCTCAATCAAAGATTTAAGTAGTACGTCTGTCCTGTTGTAGCTTTTCATGTATGTATGGGACTGATTTGGGGTTCTCTATTCTGTTCCTTCAGTCAATATTTCTACCCCTGACTTAATAATACAATGTCTTAATTACTGTTGCTTTATTGTAATTCTTGACATCTGGTAGAGCAAGTCATCACAGCATATTTTCTCAGGAAATCCCTGGTTATTTTTCATCCTTTTCTCTTCCATACACATTTTAAATTCAGCTTGTCAAGAGTCATTAAAAACCCTAATGGGAGCCTGCCCTATAGCACAGGGAGCTCAGGTCAGTGCTCTAAGATGATCCAGATGGGTGGGATGGGGTGGGAGGGAGGGAGGTCCAAGAAGGAAGGGATATATGCATGCATATAGCTGATTCACTTCTTTGTACAGCAGAAACTAACACTGTTGTAAATATCTATGCTCAGTCATTCAGTTGTGTCTGACTCTTTGCGATCACGTGAACTGTAGCCCTCCAGACTCCTGTCTGTGGGATTTTCCAGGCAAGAATACTGTAGTGGGTCGCCACTATGCCTCAATAAAAAGAACAGCAACAAGAAATCCTGCTGGAATTTCGACTGAATTGCATTGACTCTCTAGGTTATTTTAGGGATCATTGACACCTTTATGATATTGAATTCCTTCTTGGGAATAACCCTAAATTTCCTTTAATCTCCCTGCCTCCCTGACATTGCTCTGCTAGAAATCTGAGGTCACTTCTGTTTGCCCTTTATACCAAATCAATAGTCATGTTCTCTTGGTTCTACTTTCTAAATATATCTCTCAAATCCGCTTCCTTTCTCTGTTTCTCTGGCTATTAGTCCTAATTCAGAACATATTTTTAGTTTGCTTGACTTAATATGATAGTCTTATAAGTCTTCAAAGTTTTTATCCCCATGGCCACCAGAGTATTGTGTTTAAAGAATGTAAATATGCCTTCCCTGCAAACCTCACAAGGACAACCACTACTTTCTATAGTAGTGAAGGAAAGAGAGGTGGGACATCAGCTGAAGGAGAAAGCAAGAGGAAGTGAAGATGCGTTCATTTTAAAGTAAATGTGATGGAAGACTGTAGGGAGTCAAGGAGACAACGAAGGGGCAGAGATTCAGAAGTGGAAGGAACTAGCAGATTCTGTGGGGATGGAGTTGGGGTCAAAGGCACAGCTTAAGGAGTTAGCTCTGAGAAGAAGAAAGGAAACCATCCAAAGACAGGAGAGAAACAGATGGAAATGAAGAAGATAGAGGGACTTTGAAAATTAAAAAGGAGGAAAACTGAGAATTTGATTGGTGTTTTTTCTGTAGCAAGGTCTTGCCTTTAATGTTGAAAGTGAAAGTCTGTCAGTCGTGTCCGACTCTGTACGATCCCATGAACTATACAGTGCATGGAATTCTCCAGGTCAGAATACTGGAGTGGATAGCTGTTACCTTCTCCAGGGGATCTTCCCAACCCAGGGATCGAACCCAGGTCTTCCCTCATTGCAGGCAGATTCTTTACCAGCTGAGCCACTGAATGTTGAGATGGACTGTAAATATGTGGCAGAAACCAAGGGTGGGCACAAGGACACCACATATCCGAGTTAAACCTCATCGTTTCTTTAGCAATTTCATGTAAATTTCATGTAATTAGGCTAAAGAGTCATAAGCATCTGCATTTCTACATAGATTAATATACAGAGACACTGATTATGAAAAGCTGTCCTTATCTGGGAAATTGAATTTTTTTCATTAATGAATTTCAACTCTTTTGGCAGAATAGTTTAAATGGGTAATTTTTGATGTTTATTCTCTCATGTCAATGGAACCCTGTTGAGAGCACAGCAGAACAAAATAAAGGGTGATTCAAATCGCCTCAGAGATTGTCAGTAGAGAACTTTTACTACATAACAGCTGGCCAGCATTCCCTTCAGGAGACTTACTAGGCAACTGGTCATAAACTGGTCTATAAATTGAAGTCTGATTTAAGACTATGAGAAAATACCCTTTAGAATTTAGAAATTAGTCTTGTATGGCTCTATTTCATAGATTAAACTCACATAAATTTTCACAAAAAAGAAAAGAATTTAGAAATTACAGTTCCAAAAGTCCATTTGCATAAGCCTACTTATATACCTCCTTATAGGCCAGGCACATGGGTAGGTCAGACTCCCCACCCAGGTCCTCTCTCACGGTGCCCTGATAAGATCCATGTCTTTACCAGATCTGTGTGTCCTCATGTGAAATGAGAGTAAGGCTGTGCACTCAGAATTCCCTTTACTATGAAGCCTGTTGTGTTAAACATTATAGAGAAACATTACCTTCCCTCACTCTCTCTTTTTTAAAATCTTTATAGGAAGCCATGAGAATGTTTAAAGAGGCGTTGGATCTCATTTCTCATTCTGATAAAGGACTGAATCCCTTAGCTTCTGCAGACTGTCTGTATCACTTGGGTCTTTGTTACATGGAGGAAGGCAGCTTACAACTGGTATTTTGTGTATTTACTCACATAAGTTTTTCATGGTTTTAGAAATTATATCCTTACATTCAGTTCCATTTCCAAAGGCCACCTAAGCAGTGAGGGACTAGACCAAAGCTTCTCGTAAAGCTTGGCTTACTATAGTCAGTCTGCACACTTAAAACCTACTACGTTGTTTTATTTATTCAAACGTTTTATTAATGCTTGTTTGTCGACAATATTCTAAACACTAATGTGTGTTTCCCACCAAAACAATAAATCTAATTGTAAGAAATTATAGCAAAATAATTTCATCACTTAGTATAAATTTACTTACCACATTGTCAGTACTTTGAGTGCATCAATGTCATGCAGGATAAATGGAAAACAATTAGCACACTGATTTCCCTTATTGACAACTGAACAATTAAAATCAGAGTAAACTGGCTGTTAAGATGACCAGGTTCGTTGAAAACCAGTTGATTCAATTGTTAAGTATTTATCTATTAGGTTGGTGCAAAAGTAATTGCAGTTTTGGACCTTGAACTTTAAATCATTATTAGCTAGGCCCAAACAAATCCTTATTTTTTTAAATTTAATTTTATTTTTAATTGGAGGATAATTACTCTACAATATTGAGACAATTTCTGCCATCCATCAAACATGAATTGGCCATAGGTATAATTAATTTTAATTAATTAAAATAGGAACCATTATAATCAACATATTTTTGCCAATGAGAAATAAGTTTATTTATTCCTGTAGTGTAAAAATCTGTGCTTCAGGATTCGGTGAACTGTTGGAAAGCATTTTCTGCATCCTGCTGGTTGTGGAAGCGTTTTCCCAAGATGCTTGAAGAAGTGGTAGTCGGTTGGCAAGAGATGAAGTGAATATGGTGGATGAGGCAAAACTGTAGCCCAACTCATTCAACTTTTGAAGTGTTGGTTGTGCCACATGCAATCAGGCATTGTTGTGGAGAAAAATTGGGCCCTCTCTGTTGACCGATGCCAGCTGTAGGCATTGCAGTTTTTGGTGCATCTCATTGATTTGCTGAGCCTACTTCTCAGCTGTAATGGTTTCACTGGGATTCAAGAAGCTGTAGTGAATCAGACCAGCAGCAGAACACCAAACAGTGAGCATGACCTTTTTCTGGTGCAAGTTTGGCTTTGGGAAGTGCTTTGGACCTTCTTCTTTGTCCAGCAACTGAGCAGGTCATGGCCAGTTGTATAAAATCCACTTTTTGTCACACCCTGATTGAGAAATGGTTCGTTGTGTAGAATCAAGGGAAGACAACACTTCAGAACAACAATGTTTTTCATTTCTGGTCAGCTCATGAGGCACCCACTTGTCAAACTTTTTCACCTTTCTGATTTGCTTCAAATGAAGAATGACTGTAGAATGGTTGACATTGAGTTCTTCTGCAACTTCTCATGTAGTTGTCAGAGGATCAGCTTTGATGATGGTTCTCAGTTTTCGTTGTCAACTTCCAAAGGCCAGCCACTGCGCTCCTCATCTTCAAGGCTCTCGTCTCCTTTGCAAAACTTTTTGAACCACCACTGTGCTGTACATTCATTAGCAGTTTTTGGGCCAAAAGCGTTGTTGATGTTGTGAGTTGTCTCCGCTGCTTGATGACCTATTTTGAACTCCAATAAGAAAATCGCTCAAATTTGTTTTTTTGTCTAACATCATTTCCATAATCTAAAATAAATATAAACAGCAATAAGTCATTAGCAAAAAAAATAAAGTGAGAAATGTGTATTAAAATAACATAATGTAACCACATTTATTTAAGAATGTATTCTAATATCAAATGGCAAATTTCAACAGTGCAAAAACCAAAATTATGTTTGCACCAACCTAATAATATTTGGCTATTTTATACAATTCTCCATTTCAAAATTTTCACTGATATGATAAATATGTCAATAACATATCATTGGCTCTTTTTGAATATTTCACAACTACACAGACACACACATAGGCAGACACACCCACACTCCATTCCAGTCCTTATATTCATAGGGGTGGATGGTGTCTGAGACCTGTATCTTCATAACTTTAAAAGAGAATTGCACTTGATTAGTTTTCCATTAAGAAATATATGAGATTAATTACAAATATTTTTCATGTTCTTAGTCCTTTGGACAAGCAGGGGAAACCTAGTTTTGCTTTAAATGTTAGAAAAAATTTTGGAGTTCTTTTGTTTTGAAATTTTGTAACTATGTATCTGCTGGTCCTCATGGGAAATAATAAATACTAATTGTGATTTCTTTGAAGAAACACAATAAGACACATAATGATTAAAGTCCTCTTAGGGTCTTCTCTGGTGGCCCAGTGGCTAAGACTCAGTGTTCCCAACGCAGGGGACCTAGGTTTGATCCCTAGTCAGGGATCTAGATCCCACATGCTGCAACTAAAGATCCTGCATACCACAGCTAAGACCCGGTGCAGGCAAATATATACATAAATGAATTTTTTTTTTAAAATTACACCTCCAAATGTATTGTAACAACCTGAATTATGTAGACATTAGTCTGTGAATAAGGGAACCTGTAAATTATAATAAACCTAGGTCATTCATATAGTTTGGCTCCACAAGCTTCACTGGGAAAAACATATTTAAAATGACCCAAAAATAAAAACTTTTCAATAATAGTTATATACTGTAATGTATTAACTTTTTAACTAATATATTCTACTCACTGAATGATTTGCTTTTTACTAATATGCTCTTCTAGGCTTTTGATTCCTTTACAAAAGCTGTGAAAGCAAATCCTGATTTTCCAGAAGTTTTTTATCACCGTGGGCTTTGTAAAGTCAAACTCCACAAGAGTGGCTCGATCCTGGATTTCAATCGTGCAATTACCCTTGATCCAAAACATTACCAGGTATTTAAACGGGTGATTGCTCTGGTTTGGAGAGTGTGTTAAATTTGCTAATACTATTAAATCTTTAAGTGTTATTGTTATTAGTTAGCAACAGTTACTTTTATCTACTTTTCAGTTGTTTTAATAATCTATATATTATCTGTATTTTCTATTGAACTGAAAATATGATTTCTGACAGAGTTATTATATAGGTAAAAGTGCTTTGTGAATTTTAACATATATAAATTTGTTAATATTTTAATGTACCTATTAATCATTATGATTTTATATACTATATAAATAAATTTATTTACTTCTTGCTTTGCTGTTACATTGTATCCTGCCTTTTAAGAGACTATAGAGACAATATAAAATCCAATAGATGAAACTCCATTGGATCTTGATTTTAAAAGCATATGAAATTTGAATATGGATGAAATATCAGATGATTTAGGGAAATACTATTAATTTTTTTAGATATACAGTGGTAACGCGGTTGTGTAGGAGAATGTCTTCTTTGAAGAAGATGTATACTGAAAGACTTGGGGTGAATTTTTAAAATGTCTACAATTTATTTTCAAATTGTTCAGAAAAAATTAGATAACAACAAAATTACAAAATGTTAATAATTATTGAATCCAGGTGGTAGGTGTATGGCTGTTCACTGTATTATTCTTTCAATATTCTGTGAGTTTGAAATTTTCTTAATAAAAGAGAGTGACAAAAAGCCTGATTTATATCATCTCTGGATGGCATAAATTTGTTCCAACTACCATATATATTTTGGCAGAACTGATGCTTTTACTGAAATAATCTGTTTCTGCTTTCTTCCTACCTTTCTCTGAAAAGGCATATTTAAGTCGAGTAGCCTACTATGGTTTGAAAGGCAGATACTCCAAAGCAATCTTGAGTTGTAATGAGGCCATCAAAATTTACCCTCAGAGTGTGCGTGCCTATGTCTACAGAGGAGTTCTGAAATACTACAGCCGGGTAAGGAATTTACTACCTTAATTAACCTCTGGTATTTTAGAGTGTGTGGCTGCTCGGATGCCAAGGAGGGACTCACTTCCCCTTTCTCTCTGTGAAAGGAGAATTGCCATGGAATGAAGGCAGAACTACGTAGAAGGTGGTACACTTTGACAGTACATCAAAAGGGACTTCAATTAATGATTTTTCTTAAAATAGTGATAGTTACTTTTGACATTTATATTTTAAATGGCATTAATTATATATATTTTATTAAGGAAATAGTATTCATTATAGAGAATTTGGAAAATATAATGAAGAATAAAGAAGATTAAAATCACCTGATTCCCTACCACCATCAGATGGCAATTCCTGAAAGCACTTTGGTGTATTTCATTTGGTCTTTTTTTCCTAATAAAATATATATTTCCAAAAACTGGGACTGTGCTGCTTAAATAATCTGTGTTGTGCCCTGCTTCTTACATTTAATCTTTGAAGATGATACCAGTCTTAATGACTGCATATCATTCCATCATAGTATATTTTAACTACTTTATTGTTGGGCATTTGGATTGTTTGAATTTTTTTTTTTACTATTTTAATTAATACACATAGAACAAAATCAAAGGTTATGGTTCTTAAATGGATATTACTGAATTAAAAGGTGTGAGCAACACTACTGATGTCTAATGCTTCTTGGCATATTTTTTTTCTCCCTATTTTTCTTTTCTGACATTTCTTTGTAGATATTTCATATGCAATATTTTGCAAATAATACCTTAAAACAAAGGTAAGACCTTGCATTACCTGTTAATTCTGTGAAAATTACTGTCCATAAAAATGATCTTATCAGGGAAGCATCCAAGAGAAGCAAAAGAGAATGTGGGCAGAAAACATGACAATTATGTGATATGACAGTACTAGTGACAGAAGCAAGCCAGCTCTGGTAAATGTTTGTTGGGTGAATTAGCTTGCTTCTCTTTTATCCATAAGAAATTTATGTTTTTCCTTGCTATATAGCAATAAGGGTCTTCCCAGGTGGCGTTAGTGGTGAAGAATCTGCCTGCCAATGCAGGAGACGCAGGTGTGATCCCTTGGTAGGGAAGATCTCTTGGAGTAGGAAATGGCAATCCACTCCAGTATTCTTGCCTAAAAAATTTCACGGACAGAGGAGTCTGGCAGGCTATAGTCCATAGAATTGCAGAGTCGGACACAACAGAGCGCATGAGCACACTCACACATATAGCAACAATGGAAAAAAGATAATTGTTAATAGTTGTTTGTATGTTGAATTTTATTTGCAAGTGAGAAAAACTATAATAACAGTTCCTACCAAGGGACCTTCTTAATTAATTCTGTAAAAGATTAGTTTGATTGTCTTAATTTCATGGATGATACACAGAATGATTAAATGAATAGTCCCCAAACTCCGATAGAATCAAGAATTTATTTTACAACTAAATTTAAGTCTATTATGATTAACCCTTCTCACTTAATTATATTTTCTTTGTAGACTTATAAACTAGCGATTACAGATTTAACTACAGCTATCAACATGGATAAAAACAGTTATATAGCATTTTATAACAGAGCATTATGTTACACCAAGATAAATGAACTTCAAATGGTAAGAGTTATAAATATGTTTAAAGCATATTTTCTTATTATTTCTGTTACAATTTTGGAAAAATAATTCCTGTGGCAATACACACAAAACTTGAGAAACCAAAGAACAATTTTAAAGAATATTTAATTTTTTGTTAGTGCTTACCAAATTTTCTTATATAGTCTCTGCGACATCAAATGAAAATTAATTTTATAATGCTTCTAAAAGCATTTAAGGGCTGTCTAAATTAACACGTGTTACATGTTTCTCATTTGAGAAAAATGTTTCCACTGATAAATTGTGTGTAGAATTTTTAAGCAGTGATCACTAGCAATATTGTTTGCTTCACAACCTCAACATTAACTAGAATAGCCTGTGGAGGTATTTTGTTACAGTGCTCAGACTACGGATGCAGCAGGCAGTTTTGAGTGATGGTTTCCAGCTCAGAGACCGTTTTGAAGCCTAACTGATGGTTGAAGCAAACCTTTTTTTCTCGATTTATCCTGCTCCTGATTCTGCCTGTGCAAGCTCTTTTTTATATTTTTGAACCTTACTTCATTCTCCAGTCTCTCCTTACCTATTTTGTCCTTTTCCAATCAATTTCCTCACTGGGAAGCAGATCAGTAGCTTCTTAGTGTTCTGCCCAATTTCTTGCTTCCTTTTTTGCTACCCACCTACCTCCTCTTCCCGGTTTCTATCCACTTCATTATTGATGATGCCTTCTTTTAAAAGACTGCATCATGTTCCTGCTGTTGTGTGTGGACACACTCCCTCAATTTCCTCAAAACCTGGAAAGTTAAATCTGTTTAAAACATTTCGAAATTTAGTGATTTTTTCCTATGGATGGAAGAAGTTGAGAAATACTGTTTCTGTCTAAATGGATATCAAATTGCCGATAACTGGATTTTCAGGTTTCCTCCAGAAATGTTGACAAATGAATAACTAATTTTAACACAGGCTGTTGTTACCATTCTAGGAGCCAATTAAAGGATCATTTATTAGAGTAACTTGCACAGCAGGTATCTTTGACAGCTTCCTCCCCACCCCGACCCCTGCCTTTTCTGGCTAACCCTGAACTTGCAAACAATGGTCGGGGTCTGGGCAGGGAAGTACTATTTTTGTTATGTCTGATTGGTATCAGAGTTGGTGCTCTATGATTAAGGAAAACGAAAATCTATGTAAATGGGAACCTAACTAGAATAAGAATAGATTGGCTATTTTAGAGCGGCCTGGTACCCAATGCTTTTCATCCAATGGACTTGTTTTACAGATGAGGAAATGGAAACAGGGAGAGGTTAGAAACACATCCAAGTCACACAGGGAATAGGGACCTGTATTGGCATCCACGGGTTTGTTTGCTTCTGGTTAACAGTCGTTAGGTGGCTTTGTGAAACCATCTGACCTCCAGCACGTGGACCGGATGTCACTTTATAGTGTCACCTCCTCCCTTTTGTCTCCCTCCACCTGTTTCTCAGCATTCCTGCCATAACAGGACCAAGCAAACCCAAGTCATTTTGCACAAAAAATGCACTCCCAAGATACAGTTTCATAAAAACTAAGAAAAGGTGAAGTCTGGTTCCTACCCCCTTATGTTAATAAAAGTAGTAACCATTACCATCCATTTTGGGCTTATCGTGTGATAGGCACTGGGCTAAATGCTTTACCAACATTCAATCAAAATATTTTAAGGACTTCCCTGGAGGTCCAGTGATTAAGACTTCACCTTCCAATGTAGGGGGTGGAGGTTTGATCCCTGGTTGGGGAGCTAAGATCCCACATGCCTTGGGGCCAGAAAACTGAAACATAAAACAGAAGCAATATTGTAATAAATTCTATAAATGGTCCATATCAAAAATCTGAAAAAAACAATATTTTAAAGTGGACTTCTATAACAATATGATGTTATTAATATTCCATTTTTGTGGATAAGAAAACTGAGGCTTAATGTTAAGTAACTTTCCCAAGACTGAAAGTTTAGTGACAATAGCAGAGACAAAGCACAAAGCCTGCTCATTGTGACCTTCGTGAAATCTCATTTCCAAGCTTTTGTTTCCTCTTTTGTTACATATTCAGTTGCTCAGTAGATTTCTAAGGCATCATGATACATACACAGGGTTTAATTATGTGATTCTGTGAAAGGAAAATTGCAAACATTCTAGTTTTGTTTTACAAGTGTTACAAATTATTTCTACAGCCTGTCAGTGTTTATTTATAGTTATTCCACAATATACATATAGGATGTTTAATTGTACAATTCTTTTAGATGTCAAGTTCCCCATCACAAAACACTAGAGGAGAACCACTAACTAAGCAAATAGTAAAATACTATTTATTCACATTTTCATTTAGCACATGCTACAGGCATATATGATTTGGCTCTTTTCTGATGAAACCATATGGCTCCTTGGGGCAAAATGTTCAGAAGGAAAATGAGTTAAGTGATTCAGCTCCAACTGATATTTGGGATACTCCTAGTTCCTGATACAGAGTAAAAACCTATTTATTGAATGAAAAAAAAAGATAAGAAATGGAAAAAGGTCCTCTGAGTTGATTCTCAGCTTAGACTGTCTTTAAAAGGGAGAATACTGAAGTAATTTTCCAACAAGTGCTCATTTGTTAGTTTTATTAAGATTTGTTTTCATTGCTTTATGATTTATTCATTCAACAAAAATTTATCAAATGCCTAGTAAGTGCAGGCATGGTGCTAGTTTACTGGCTTTACAATGTGTGAACAAAATGAATAATCTCTGCCTCAGTAAAATTTAGGTTTCAGTGACAAAAACAATAAAACACTATAAAACAGTTAAACTTCAAAAGGTTAACAAGTGCTCTGCTTTAATGTCAATAGTCATTTTGTGAAACTGTTGAGCTGGGGAAGGGTGTTGTGTGCCCCCTTCAATCCATGCACAATAAAAATGCTTAGGATAGCATGTGAAGTATAAGCACAGTGCACCCTATTTGTTAGTAGCAGCATCCATAGTATTTAATTAAGTGTATCTATTAAATCTAACAAATGATTATTTTCAGCCTTAAATTTTAAGTCACATTGAAGAACTAATTATGAGGTTCTAGTTTTTCCGTGGTTAATGTAGTAATGCTATAAAGACTTGACTCTAGCTTGTAAGTGATTATTTCATTTTTAGGCATTAACAGATTATGGAATTGTGCTTCTTCTTAATGCTGGAGAAACTGTGACATTGAATACCTTCATTAATCGTGGACTCATCTATGCAGAATTAGAACAGTTCAGTTTCGCTTTAGAGGTAAACTTTTCTGTTTACTTGTAAAAATGAACCCATTTGATTTTGCATGTTCATTTCTGAAAACCTGTGAAAAAGTTTTTCTTGATAATTAATGGCTCTATTAATGAATAATAATTCAACTTTAGTGAGAATTGTGATGAAGTACTTTGAATGATAGAATCTTTGCAAAAATATGTTTTTTACTTTTTAAATACAAATGAATGGATAATATGTAAAAAAATTCTAAATTGATGAAATATCAAGACTGTCATCTCTCCTAAGGAAGTGTCTTAGCTGTAGACAAAAATTAAAGTGATTTAAGTGTCATTTACTTTGCTGCTCAGTGCTCTTCCTCGTTCATAGTTTTCCTCATTCCACATTGAAAATATGTCAGAATAAAGCTGTTTGCTTCTCATGGGTAGAAAATAGCAGCTCAGAATAGGTTACTGGGAACAAGCTTTTAAGTTAGTGGGAACAGGCACTCAGAGTTGCAATAGAAGACAGCATCTGCAATATATGGATAAGAAACAGGTGGATTTCTTTATAGAATAATGAAACAAAGTTCACTGTTCTCATTTTTATCTGTATTGTCTATATAGAGTTAAATTAGGAATTAAGAGATACAGACAAAAATCAAATAGTTATTTGAAGTTTGCCATTAAATAATGGTAGCTTTTCTTCTATGTTTCTCAGGAACCACAACAGATCATTATGTAGGGGAGTGTTTCCTATTTTTTCACCTCCAAATATAACTTGTATTATTCTTCAACTTCTGGAGCCATCTTTTGGGATTCTGTCCCACAGAATTACTTATTATTAAAGAAGTGACTGAGATACTGTATTCTAGGCAGTTTACATAATCGTGTTGGTGCTCAGTTACAAGTTATGTCTGACTCTTTGTGACCGCATGCACTGTAGCCTACCTGGCTTTTCTGTCTGTGAGATTTCTCAAGTAAGAATACTGGAGGGGGTTGCCATTTCCTTCCCAGGGAATCTTGCAGACCCGGAAACCGAACTTGGCAGGCAGCAGGTGGATTCCTGCTTGGCAGGCAGATTCTTTACCACTGGGCCACCATGGAAGCCACTTTACACTATGGTGAAATGTAATTTCAAGAGTTGAACTCCCTTAGGTTTTGGCTTTGAGATGTGCCCTTTGGAATTCCCTCAGGTAGGGAAAGCTAAAGAATGTCTTTGGAATAGGCAAAAAAGCTATGAGACTCTGGGCAATGGTGTAGGGTAGAGAAAGTGAGGGAAATGAGGTTTGGGGAGGCAAAAGACATCAGCTGTTGGAGAATTAAATGCAGGGCCTGTGTTACTAGCCACCTAAGTATTCCTTTAGTACCTAACTGCAACAGTAACTCAAGTTATTGCACAGTTATACCTGCTGTGTTCTCAACAATACTGCATGATTTACAACTGTAACTTATGGATGAGGAAGCTGATATGCTAAAGAGGTTATTGAAAAAGCGAGAGAGTTCCAGAAAAACATCTGTTTCTGCTTTATTGACTATGCCAAAGCCTTTGACTGTGTGGATCACAATAAACTGTGGAAAATTCAGAAAGAGATGGGAATACCAGACCACCGGATCTGACTCTTGAGAAACCTATATGCAGGTCAGGAGGCAACAGTTAGAACTGGACATGGAAAAACAGACTGGTTCCAAATAGGAAAAGGAGTACGTCAAGGCTGCTTATTTAACTTATATGCAGAGTACATCATGAGAAAGGCTGGGCTGGAGGAAGCACAAGCTGGAATCAAGATTGCTGGGACAAATATCAATAACCTTAGATATGCAGATGACACCACCCTTATGGCAGAAATTGAAGAAGAACTAAAGAGCCTCTTGATGAAAGTGAAAGAGGAGAGTGAAAAAGTTGGCTTAAAATTCAACATTCAGAAAACTAAGATCATGGCACCTGGTCCCATCTCTTCATGGCAAATAGATGGGGAAACAGTGGACACAGTGGCTGACTATTTTTCTGGGCTCCCAAATCACTGCAGATGGTGATTGCAGCCATGAAATTAAAAGACACTTACTCCTTGGAAGGAAAGTTATGACCGCCCTAGACAGCATATTAAAAAGCAGAGACATTACTTTGTCAACAAAGGTCCATCTAGTCAAGGCTATGGTTTTTCTAGTAGTCATGTATGGATGTGAGAGTTGGACTATAAAGAAAGCTGAGTGCCGAAGAAATTGATGCTTTTGAACTATGGTGTTGGAGAAGACTCTTGAGAGTCCCTTGGACTGCAAGGAGACCCAACCAGTCCATCCTAAAGGATATCAGTCCTGGGTGTTCACTGGAAGGACTGATGCTGAAGCTGAAACTCCAATACTTTGGCCACGTCATGAGAAGAGTTGACTCATTTGAAAAGACCTTGATGCTGGGAAAGATTGAGGGCAGGAGGAGAAGGGGATGACAGAAGATGAGATGGTTGGATGGCACCACTGACTCAATGGACATGGGTTTGGGTGGACTCTGGGAGTTGGTGATGGCCAGGGCGGCCTGGTGTGCAGTGGTTCATGAGGTCGCAAAGAGTTGGACACGACTGAGCAACTGAACTGAACTAAACTGAGTCAACCAGGAAGTACTGGGGCAAGATTTGAACTTAGGTCTTTCCTGATTCCAAATCCTGTATTCCTTCAGACATTGAAGATATGGAGACAAATAAGACAGATTTCCAGTCCTTGAGGAGCTCACGGTCTGGTGGGAATCATTCTTGACCTCTCTCTCTTCTCACACCCCATGTCTAAATCATGAGCCAGTGTGGTCAGCTCTACCATCAAAACGTATCTTGAATTCAGTCATTTCTCATTTTTTCACCCTGCTCTCCGCCTCCTTCCAGCCTCTACCTTCTCCTGCCTGGGTTCCTGCAGTAGCTTTCCATCTGGACTCACTGCTTCTGCTGTCGTCCCTCTAAGTACTGTTCACACTTAGCAGCCAGAGATGCCTCTGACAAACATAAAGCAGCTCAAGCTACTCCTCGGCTCAGAACCCTCCAGTGGCTTCCCATCACAGTCAGCTCAAAATCTGAACCCTTGACTGTAGCCAGCCAAGACCCCAGTGACCTGACTGCCGCTCACTGATCTGACTTCATTGTCATTGTTCTTCTTTTGTCCACTCAGGTTACTCCTCTGTGGCCTTTGGCCTTGGAAATCCCAGGCTCCCTTCCTGCCTCCGGGTCCTCACACAGCTATTCCCTATGTGGAAAACACTCCTCCCATTGATCTGCATATGGTTCACGACCTCCTTTTATTCCATGTCTCTTCTCAAACGTGACCTCGGCAGTCAAAAAGAGTAGATTAATTAAAATGGAATATTAAAAAATTAAAATAATCCCAGATAAGTCTGGAAAGAGAAGACGAAGGAACAGAAACACAGGAGACCAGCAGAAAACAGACAATAAATGGTAGACCTAAATCCAACCTTACCAGCAGTTACATTAAATGGAAATTCTCCAAATACCCCAATTGAAATAGTGAGGATGTTACATTAGAATTTTTTAAAAGTCCCAACAGTATTCTGGCTGCAAGAAACAGACTTTAGATATAAGATATAGTAGGGTAAAAGTAAAAAGACTGGGGAAAAAAACATGCCCTGCAGACACTACAGGCTTGCCTTGGAGATATTGTAGGTTTGGTTCCAGACCATAGCAATAAAGTGACTCACATTAATTGTTTTGTTTCATATAAAAGTGCATATAAAAGTTATGTTTGTACAATGCTGTAGTCTACTGAGTGTGCAATAGCATTATGTCTTAAAAATGGACCTATCTTAGTTAAAAAGTACTTTATTGATAAAAAATGTTAACCATCATCTGAGCCTTCAGTTAGTTGTAATCTTTTTGCAGTAGTAACATCAAGGATCATTGAGGATCACAAACTACCATAACAACTACAATAATAATGAAAATGTTTGAAATATTATGAGAATTACCAGAATATGATAACAGAGACATGAACTGAGCAAATGCTGTTGAAAAAATGGTGCCAATAGACTTGCCTGAGGCAAGATTGCACAATTTGTACAAAGTGCAATATCTGCGAAGCTCAATAAAACAAGATATGCCTGCAATAAAAGGCAAAAAAAATTTTTCCCCTGTGTAAATTTTAAAAATTAATTAGAAAAATTAAAGAAAGATGATTGCTGAGGCAGACCAATGAAGAAATACATGACTGAATAATAAGAGGGCTAAATGCAGAACCTAGAGAAAGCAGAGTCTGAAAACCTACTCAGGGAAACATTCTTAGTGGGAATGGTTGATTAACAGAGATCAAGCAGGATGAGAGCTGAAAATGTATCAGTTAATTGATAGTTGTGTGCCCTTCATAAGAACACAGGAAATAAGAGTATGGCATTTGAACTGGACTTGTTAGGCCGAATTAATGGGAAAGTTTGTAATGAAATCTCAGTTACAGTTGTTAAGTTTGACTTCATTTCAGCAAAAGAAAAGAAAATCCTCTTAGGGGGAAATACCTGGTAGCATATTTCATTAGATTATATTTGTCTGGACAATAAACTTCTTACTTTCTTCCAAATAATTCCATGTAGCATCAAAATATGCTTCAGAAGTCTAAGTGGGGAGTTCATATTCTCAGATGGGTCTGGACTGATACCCTTCTCCTATAGTAGCGCCCCAGAGGGTTCAGTTTGACATTACTGCGCCCTCTTCCACCCCTGGTATTAGCAGAGAACTTATTCTACCCCCGTTAAACAGCCAGCTTTGCGGAAGCAGAAGGGAGAGGGGAAGACGATGGAGGAACAGAGGGAGGAGGGAGACTATCCTCATGGTTGAGTTCTCTCTAGTGGAGTGGAAACCAGAAGTCTGACACTTAGCTTTTAAGACTAGAGCACTCTTAACCCAGCCTTCTGGAAGTGGGAAGGGAGTCTGGAAACTAAAGTTTCCTTTAGCCACTCCACAGGAGGTTAGGATCCTCCCCACAGTCTAGTTTGGTCAAGTGAGTTCATAACCAAAACGGCCCAAAAGATTCTTGCTGAAGCAGTTCTCTGGGAAAAAGCAGAGTCATTTTTATTTTTTATTCCTTTGTTTATTCCATTTTTATTCCTTTACAGGTGTTGAACTCTTATTTTTTGAGTTCCCAAATTATGGGATATAATTCCATAATCCTATATTATGGCAAACATTGAAATCAGTCTGTATCTCACATTATTTATGTATATATGTACACAATGCCTGTGGATATACCTAGGACTTCCCTGGTGGCTCAGATGGTAAAGCGTCTGCCTACAATGCAGGAGACTTGTGTTCAATCCCTGGGTTGGGAAGATCCCCTGGAGAAGGACATGGCAACCCACTCTAGTACTCTTGCCTGGGAAATCCCATTGATGGAGAATCCTGGTAGGCTACAGTCCACGGGGTTGCAAAGAGTCAGACACAACTGAACAACTTCACTTTCACACATACCTATATATATAAGTCTCATTGCTGTTGACATGGTCTTTTGATATGTAGACATTTATTTAAACATTTTATTTGTTTCAGTTTAGTGGTATTCTTATTTTGCTTCAGGTTTCAGTTGTTTTTGTAGGGCTTTGAAAACCTAAAGAACTTCAGACAGCTTGTCTTTGGTGTCCAATAGAGAACAGTGCTCAGGTCACAGCATCAGGATCTCAGGCAGAGTTAGTGCTTTTAATTCTTTTAACCTCTTCCCCAGTACCGTTTGGGCTTCCCTGGTGGCTGAGAATCTGCTTGCAATACAGGAGACATGGGTTTGACTCTTGGGTTGGGAAGATCCCCTGGAGGAGGGCATGGCAACCCACATCAGTATTCTTGCCTGGAGAATCCCCATGGTTAGAAGAGCCTGGCAGGCTACAGTCCCATGGGGTCACAAAGAGCTGGACATGACTGGGTGACTAAGCCCAACCAGTACCATTCAGGTCTGTTCCAACTGACTGCCCTGACTTTTACCTGTTGCAGTTAGCATTTCCACTGCTCCTTCCCTGGAGGCTTCTAGGATCCCTGGACAAAATGACACATTTTCCCCTAAGTGTGGGCGGCCCAGGTAGGAGCTACATTAGCTAATCCACACAAGAGTTGTGGTTATAGGGCCTGGCCCGAGTGCTTATCTGTCCTGTAGTCCTAAGAGTCTCTGCCAGCAAATTTCTATTTCTGCCAGGATAGAGAAGTCTCTGGTGGTGTTCACTGGGGGGAAAAAGCAATAAAAAAGAAAGTAAGTGTGATACCTCATTACAATACCAGGCAAAATCACAAGAAAACTGGAGACAGTAGTGCAAGGTTCTGAGTGAGTTTTTGGTTGTGATATTCTGTATTGGGTTACAGTATTCTCATGTGATACTAAAAGGAAAACACAAAGTTTAAAAAAGATGTATATTTTAAGGCTTGTGTAAAATTTATTTGTGGAAGAATCAAAGTTAGGAGGAAGTTTATGAAAACCCAAAAGATAATGTGGCAAAACTAACCAAAATTTGCAAAACTCTTTCAGGATTTTAAACAAGCGGCACTGATAAGCAAGACTAATGTGAACCTATGTCAAGCTACTGCCATATGCTATCACAGGTATGGAGTGTGGTTCATGAAGTGAGAGAAGTGGGACCAGCAGATTTATAATAGGAGAGACAGAGGAGAATATTGTGGAAGTGACAGAGTACAAAAATGGGGAGAGACACAGAGAATCACTGTATGGAAGTGGGAACCATACCTAAGTTTCTCAAACTATTTTAGCCAAATCAGCAAGTAAATGTCTGCTGATAGCATTGGGGGTATCCATATGATTCAGCATATTGGAAAGCATATTCACTTATTGGAAAGGACCTTGGTAATACACAGAATGAAATCATGAATAGCTTGAAATATCTAAGAATAGAATAATTAACTTTGTTCATTAAATGGAGCTAACTTTTAAAAAGTCTGTTTCCTAGAAGAGAGGTTGATTTAGTAAAATATTTTCAAGAAAATTTTACCTTTAAAAAGCATTTCTAAAACTAAAACTAATTAAAATAACCAGTAAATATCTATAAAATACAATGAAATCTACAAAAGATACATTACTTAAAATTACTTAAAACACATTACTTGTTTCTGGTATTGTAAAAAATAGGTAAATTATAGAAGAGGAGAAAAGAATAGTAACATAAGGCTAAAATATAGAAGATTACTTTAAAATTTACTCTGAAATAATATTAGATTGATTTTGCTAGCTATAATTTATAGCTTACATTTCTACCCATACATTTGATATCAAAAATTAATTTCTGGACATTTTACTTTTAAAAGCATAGAAATTCAGCACATGAATTTCACATTTTAGTGTGAAACAGAATGTATTTAGTTAAGTAATAATTTACAGCATTTTTCATGCGTGAAATAATAGCAGTTACTTGGATGAGAAAATTAGGATAGCAAGTAGACTCTGTATATATACAATTTAGGCAATAGAACATAGTTTGAATTACTTAGAAAACTGACATTCTTTTTTTCCCTCTTTTAGGACATAACTAGTACAGGTATGGTTTCTCTCTGAGAGTTATATTTTTTCAATTTTATGAATATGGTAGTATAATTACTGGAGCTTGTAAAGGTATATTTGGTTAAAAGGCCCAAACTGGTCTCAGACCTTTAAATTTATTATTTTTTTCTTTCTTTTTTTTTTTAGACCTTTAAATTTATACAGGCAAAAAACACAGTCACATCATTGTCTATTTTAATATAGCATCTTTGTACAATTCATCTCTTTAAGTAATTGCCATTCTTAAAAAGAAATGGATTAATAACGACTGATATGTTTGTTTTGGTGGGCGAGTGGAGACCAGAAATGTCTGAGGTCACTGAATTCTCTTAAAACCAAAACCAGACACCAAAATTTTCTCAGCCTCATTCCTGTGTTTTGCAATTCTTGGAGTCAGTAAATTTTTCTATGTGTCAGGTCCTGATCTCCTTTATGAAATGTAATCACTGGGTATATATGGCGGGGTCTCCTTAAGCTGAAACTGCTTTGCAATTCCAAATAACCAACTTTCATCATCCTACCAGAATCTCTATTGTCTTTTAATAAAAATAGAATTAAATCAACAGTAAAATTCTGATAACTCAGCGTCCCAATTCCATGTATTTTAACAGTTTTATTAAATTTAACAATAAGGAATGTTTAGTGATTGGTTATATTTATTTCAAGAAAAATATTTTTGCTTTTCAAGTTGAGCTATAACATACTTATTACTTCAGCAGCATGGTTTGTAAATAATGAGATTCACTATTGATGTTTCATAGTAGAGAAAGTAAAAATTCTCCCATTTGGAAAATTTTTAAAAAGGAATAAATCTGTAAATTTTAAGGCTTTGATCTTTGAACTCGTGGGGTTGCAGACTTTTGAAGTGTGCCTTTGTATATCTCTGGTTCTCACTCTTGTGGTTGCTAGGAGACAACATTCCTTAGGCTGAATATCCTACTTGTTGCCCAATTGGGTCACTAAGAGTATTATGGTAGAGTTAATTTTTAGATCTCTTTGAGAAAGCCACCTTAAGATTAAAAAAAAAAAAAAAAGTCACAGAGGGGGAGCCTGATGGCTCAGAGTTACATATTCTATCCACTTTTTACTTCAGCACATTTATTTCACTCTTCTTATATTTGCATAAAATATTTCTGAATCTTTGACTCTGCAGGCCACATTCTTTAGTTTGGGGAGGTATTTATGATTTATTTGTACAACCCAGTAGGGCACATCTGGTCATGTATATGATTCATTTGGAAAACGCGGTGGGCCTTGGTGTCTGTGGCCTAACCTGCAAGCTCAGCACCTGGTCCTTAGTTAAGAGACACCATAATGAGAGTCACACACCTTACTTCGGTGATCACATTATTTTAGATTTATAGAGACACTTTTTATTTTAGAAAAACTAACATCCTTTTATGTTTATGTAATTGATGTTTTAACAGTTTATGTGCCAGTTGAACATGTACCCTGATATAACAGATACTTTGCCACGTTTTTCCATTTTTAAACTGCCATGTGATTATTTAACAGGAGCCCTAATCTACAGGACATTGTGTGACATACCCATCTTCAGAAAAATGCTGTGTCTATATTTTTTCCTACTGGTGAGGGGGCTGAGGGTAGTGTCTCTGGCTTTGGCTCCATCACCTCCTCTGGACTTGATTTTTAGATATTATCAGCTTTGAAGAGGTTGCTAGGTGCCTTTCAAGGTCCCTCCCCAGGTTTAAGGTTTAATGATTGTTTGCTTAGTCTGAATAGACTAGATGTTTGTTAAACATTAGTGCTGATAACTAGATGTGTGTCGAAAAATAACTTCAATTCATTGCCTCATTTTTTCTTTTAAAATTGGTTTGACAATTCAAAGGGTGAAATTATGTTTTGTAAACTACATATTGGCATATGTATTCACAAAGGATTTTAAATTTCCCTCTGGGTAAGAGGGAAGCAATGTGTATGATACAATTTGGAGGTAAGCATACTAGAAACATTTCAGTGCTTTGTGGGAAGAATATGAGAGAACTGGGTTGCCCTGGAAATTTCCATTTACGTGGTCACCGTAGGTATGCATCATAAATAAGTAGCTCACTACCTAGAGATAGAAATGAAAGTGAAGAGTTCAAGTGTTAGTTGCTCAAACATGTCTGAGCGACCCCATGTACTGTGGCCTACCAGACTCTTCTATCCATGGGGATTCTCCAGGCAAGAATACTAGAGTTGGTTGCCTTGCCCTCCTTCAGGGGATCTTCCCCACCCAGGAATTGAACACGGGTCTCCTGCCTTGAAGGCAGGAGACGCAGTGGCCGTTAAAAACCTATCAGCTAAATGCATTTTATATAGAAATGCAAATTACTACTGTGTAATTATTCTTGATAAAAAGTTCATTATCTAGGCTAGGGTTATTTCTGTAATACAGTGAGAAAGTGGCTACAAGCATTGTAACCTTGTATTTAGTGAAATTTTACTTCTCAAATAGTGCCAGTTATCAGGAAAGAGGAGGGCAGTTTCATTCTAAACTGCTTGAGGGAGGGGAGCCCGTGTTTTCTTTGTGAGAATCCAGAGTAAACTCAGAAGATACCAGCTGTCTCATACAAGAGTGCTAACCGTCTCCTGTTTGTAATGTCAAGCTCTCCTGGTGCTTTCCTGTTGACTCTTTTGTCACCTTCTGGCACAACGCTTGGCACACACTTTTGGACAGTGTTTGCCAAAACGTGGGGGAAATATCACCAGCACCTCTATTACTTCTTCATGGCATGCACAAGCATTCAAAAAAATTGAATCACGTTGTGGGAAACTGGATTGCTTTTCAGTTTCAAAGTGAATTCTTTCTCAGACCTTCTGAACACTTGAAGAAGAAAGTCTCAGCTAAAAGTTAGTCTTTAGCATCTTCTCCACCCTTCGTGATAGATGGTACAGCTCTCAGGTTTAGTTTTCTGCAAACTGTGCTATCCAACTCCAATATTTATTTATCTTTATGGTTGCCTTCTGTTTATGACATGAGATTTTGATTTTGTGCTTGTGGTATTGAAATTAAGTTTTTTTTTTAAAAAATAGATTTACTTAAATAATAAAGTGACTTAAAGAGAAATACTCAATAAATGATAGGTATAGTTGGGACACAGGGCAACTGTCATGAAGGAAGGGCTGAGGTTTGGGAAACTGTATTTTAAGAGATAATGCTGAGTGATATCTAAGAGATGATAGTGTCTAAAACAGTTACTCTGGGTTCCATGATTATTTTCATAAAGGAAAAGTTAGAAAAGCAAGTGATGCATCTTGTTAAAGTTTGAAACCTTTTTGAGAAGTAATGAAAAGACTGGAAAGAGGATAATAATCTTTACTGGGTGAGGGTCTCTGTGCTAAGGGTTTTTTCACATGCTGTCATTTGCTCCTTCTAGCAGTTTTGAAAAATTAGTATTAATTTGTATGTTCAGGCTTAGTTTTGAACTCCAAGTCTTTCTTCTGACTGTACTGTTGAAAGGTCACACACCAGCTTTTGTGCACTGGCTACAAGTATGTTAAAGGTGAAGAATGTGGGTACGGATGACTTGTGGGAAAGCATGGATTTTGGAGTCTGACTCACCTGGGTTTGAACCCCACATATTTGCTCTGTGCAATCTTAGCATGCTCTCTACTGTGTTATTTAATATGTGCAAACTTTTCTGAGTCATGATATTCTTTTAATCTATAAAATATAAAAAAAATTATAGCAAGCTTACAGAAGTGTTGGAAAAATTAAGTGAAATAGTATATGTACAGCACTCAGCATAGTACCTGGTAAGAAAGTAATTACTCAGTGTTAGCTCCTTCATTCTGTTAAAAAATTCTAAACTTTCCATATTAATTGAAATTAAAAATACTTATTAGATTTGCATGTGAGATGGCAAAGTGACTTTATATACCCATGGATGAATGTTCAATTACTTCAACAACCCTCACGTAACCACAGGAGACTAATCAAGGAAGATAGAGAGACAAAGTTATCATTTAGTCACATATATTCACAAGTTAATAATAAAATGCATTTCACTTCTTGTTCTCCTCTCCTTTTTTGGTGTCCAAAATGAAATGGGCTGCCTTTATAGAAGTTCTGAAGTAAGAATTCCCGTGTGATGAAAAATTGAGCTCCTTTCATGATAAAGGACATAATTAAATATTTAACAGTGCATTTATTTTAATCTGATTTAAATGGTGTATTTTATTAATAATAGTATGTTTTTATATGCTGTCCACTGATAACTCTTATAAATGTGTTCAAGAATGCCATTCAGATTTTTATAATTCTGAAAAAAGAACTCTAGAATATCATCTCAATGTATTCTGCTATAAAGAAGGCTCTTACTTCCCCTCTTTTCTTCTACCGCTATCTTCAAAGAAGCCCATCAGACTGCCTTAGGTCATATGGCAATGGTTCTTGGTGGTGGTGATGGTTTAATCACGAAGTCATGTCCGACTCTTGAGATCCCATGGACTCTTGAGACCCCCGCCAGGCTCCCCCGTCCCTGGGATTCTCCAGGCAAGACTACTGGAGTGGGTTGCCATTCCCTTCTCCATGGCAATAGTTCTTATGACAGTTCATAGTTAATAAAAATTAAAGTTTTATTTAAGGGTTAATGCATTCCTTTATGTAAAGGTTATATACGGAAAAGCACTTAGACAATTCACCAGAAAGCATTAATATTTTCATTTCTTTTCAGGAATAAAGAGTTTGAAGAAGCTGTCAACTTCTTCACCTGGGCTGTTAAGATTGATCCCCGTTTTCTGGATGCTTACATTGGACGGGGAAATTCTTACATGGAATATGGACATGATGAGGCCACCAAGCAAGCACAGAAGGACTTTCTGAAAGCACTGCATTTTAATCCAGTCTATACAAAAGCCAGAATTTGTTTAGGCTATAATTTGCAGGTAATATCATATGACAACATTTTGGACCATGAAAGTACCTTTTAGACAAGAAAGTGGTTATATTTGAGCTTTCAGTGGTGATGGGTATACACAATGCTTCTTTCACTGTGAACATTTTACCTTTATCTTTTTATTAGTATTCACAATGTCAGTGGAAAGCAGGGATTTGATGAGTTATAGGTAGCCTGCCTAGGAGCATACCCAGGAACCTAGTGTGATAGTGAGATGAGGATCTTGTGAACTTGAGTTTCCTTATTGCCTGCACCCCTTTCTACCTTACTCCGTTATACATACCACTCTTATAGACAACTTTTAAGACTTTCCTGGTGAGTTTCACATATAAAAATCTGGTTAAAATTTATTTCACTAGTTATACCTGGGCTCCATAGGTTTTATCCTATTAAATTAGTGAAAAGCTAAAGGGAATAGACAATGTAATGACATGACCTATGCGATGGACCAGACAACCACTATATAGGGACTTCTGAATTCAGGTCATCTTCCAAATGGCAGTGAATTAGAACACTCTGGAAGCCAAGACAATAGGCATGTGTCCTTCCAGCTAGATGGAAGAGTGTTTTTCTTTGTGTTATCAAGCGTGTCTCTGAGTGATTTCTGGGACATTGACCTGACCCATATGCTCACTGAGCTATGCGCACTACGAAATATGGAGTGATTTTCTTGGAAGAAAGTGCTAGATGTGTTATATTTTCCATGAAAAGGAAAGGAGTAATCTTTTTGTGCCTTTTATTATTAAAAAAATTAAACAATGGGCCAAAGTATGTTTAAATTATGGTAATTTGCAGAAATTCCTATTAACAATGTCTTTTAAAGTTGAGGTGTTTTTTTTTTTTTTTTGATTTAAAAAATAAATGAATTTGGCTGATCTAAGACTAGGAGGTGGCTGTGGGTTGGTTGTAGTGAGGTATACCCAAAAATTGATTAATAAGGGAAATAAGATTGCCTTCTGAGAGTTAAGCATGAAATTAGCCATTATTTGATCACAATAGAAATTTGCAAAGTCAATTTAGAGACAGGGTGACTCCCAAAACAGCTAGAACTGACTGCAAATCAAAAGAAATATGTTAATGTCATTGTTCATTGCATTTTCTGGGCACCTAGTATAGGACAGGGACTGATCTAGGCCTAAGGCTACAGCGGTGACCAAAAGACACTGGGTTCTTCTTGTAGAGTTTACTACCTATTGAAGGGATAGGCATCAAGCTGGCACATGAATAATTACTTAATTATACTCAGGATAAGTACAAAAAAAAATGATGGATTTTAGGACAGTTTATATGAAGGAAACCTAGCTTTGAGAAATTAACATTTAAATCGAGATATGAAAAACTAGTAATTAGAAGTTGGGGCTTAGAACACGCTATTCCACAGAAAGGGACCAGCTCATTTGGTGAGAAGGAGACAGAGGGCTTAAAGAGATGGAATGTTATGGACAAGGGGAGAGTGATGTGGGATAAGACTATAGAACTGAGTAATGACTGGAGGTGAAGGTCATTTTAACTGGTCTAGGTCAGTTAAAAACATGAATGTCACTCACCAGAGCACTGACATCAGACTTGTATTTTATGACGATCTCACTGGGCTGTATAGTTTATACACTTTCACTTTATACCATTAGTTTATTTAATTATTGAGCACATATTTATTTTGTTATGTATAATACATATAACTAGAGTTTCAATGCCAAGCGAATAAAGGATTCCTGCCTGTGTGTGCAGTGAAAGTGAAAGTTGCTCAGTCGTGTCCACCTCTTTGCTACGCCATGGATTATACAGTCTATGGAATTCTCTAGGCCAGAATACTGGAGTGGGTAGCCATTCCCTTCTCCAGGGGATCTTCCCAAACCAGGGATCAAACCCAACTCTCCCGCTTTGCAGGTGGATTCTTTACCAGCTGAGCCACAAGGGAAGCCCAAGAATACTGGAGTGGGTAGCCTATCCTTTCTCCAGCAGATCTTCCCGACCCAGGAATCAAATCGGGGTCCCCTGCATTGCAGGTGGATTCTTTACCAACTGAGCTTGCAGAGCTCAGTGTAAATTTTGTAGTGATTGTCAGAAGCATTGATGTTTCCCATGGTGGTCAAGATTTTATGTTATTGATACAGATGGCACAAAAACACATGAAAAGATGCTCAACATCACTCATTATCAGAGAAATGCAAATCAAAACCACAATGAGGTACCATTACACGCCAGTCAGGATGGCTGCTATCCAAAAGTCTACAAGCAATAAATGCTGGAGAGGGTGTGGAGAAAAGGGAACCCTCTTACACTGTTGGTGGGAATGCAAATTAGTACAGCCACTATGGAAAACAGTGTGGAGATTTCTTAAAAAGCTGGAAATAGAACTGCCATATGACCCAGCAATCCCACTTCTGGGCATACACACCAAGGAAACCAGATCTGAAAGAGACACGTGCACCCCAATGTTCATCGCAGCACTGTTTATAATAGCCAGGACATGGAAGCAACCTAGATGCCCATCAGCAGACGAATGGATGAGGAAGCTGTGGTACATATACACCATGGAATATTACTCAGCCATTAAAAAGAATTCATTTGAATCAGTTCTAATGAGATGGATGAAACTGGAGCCCATTATACAGAGCGAAGTAAGCCAGAAAGATAAAGACCATTACAGTATACTAACACATATATATGGAATTTAGAAAGATGGTAACGATAACCCTATATGCAAAACAGAAAAAGAGACTCAGATGTATAGAACAGACTTGTGGACTCTGGGAGAAGGCGAGGGTGGGATGTTTCAAGAGAACAGCATTGAAACATGTATATTATCTAGGGTGAAACAGATCACCAGCCCAGGTTGGGTGCATGAGACAAGTGCTCGGGCCTGGTGCACTGGGAAGACCCAGAGGGATCGGGTGGAGAGGGAGGTGGGAGGGGGGACTGGGATGGGGAATACATATAAATCCATGGCTAATTCATTTCAATGTATGACAAAAACCACTGCAATGATGTAAAGTAGTTAGCCTCCAACTAATAAAAATAAATGGAAAAAAAAATAATAAAAAATAAGGAAATTTGAAAAATAAAAATAAAAAAATAAAATTAAAAAAAAAGATTTTATGTTATTGAAGACCTGTATAAGAGATGCCTCTGACAATCAGATATATTTCAGCTAATTAAAAGTTCAGCATAAATACTCAGGGGAATTAGTCATTTGAATGTACTCACGGTACAGCCTACTTCCTTGTTTAAAATAGCTTAGATTTAGCACAGTATAAATATACCCTTACGAAAAGACTTTATTTAAGTTAGAATCATAAACATTTGTCATGATATGGGCAATTTCTTACTTGGTATAAATGGAAAATTATTTTAGGCCCAAGGAAAATTCCAGAAAGCTTGGAACCACTTTACCATTGCTATGGAAATTGATCCAAAGAGCTACCTAGCCTATGAAGGAAGAGCTGTGGTCTGTCTTCAGATGGGTGATAATTTTGCTGCATTTCAGGATATAAATGCTGCCATAAAGGTAAAAATCCACTTAGATTATATTATCATTAGTGTAAATTAATGTCATCAGTGAATAAGATGAAGTAAGAAGTCCTCTGTTGCCTGTTAAAAGTGACTTGTAGAAAGAATAATGTTTGTATTTTTTCCCCAGGAGTTTCCCAGAATAAAGAGTTATTATAACTTGCCAATTTTATAACCTAAATGTATTTAAAAATTTAAAAATATATTTATAATAAATGTTGATTCCTCTTAGTACATGCAAATTTATAGCTTCATGATACATCAATATTATTTTATAATTAAAAAAATAAAATAATGTTCTGGCTTTGAAGGAAGTAAAGAAAGAATAATGTAAATCCCTAGCTTTTTCTGTAGTGAAATGGCAAATAAATTCAGTGACAGAAAATCTGCCTTTTGTCATCTCGATTTTGGATTCTTTTTTATTTTTATTTTTTGTATATTTGGGTAGATATTATAATCTTTGAGATCATAAAAAGGAAAGACCTGAAAGGTAATTGCTATACTTCATAGAACAAATAAACATGTTACCTTTTTAATTTCTGGCTTCAGTTTAACAGAGCTAAACAGACAAGCTTTTCCTCATGCATCTATTCTTAAGCCCCATTCTTTGCAAAGGAACTGAGTAAAGCACTAAGATTATTTGTTTTATTGCAACCAAATCAACAAAATGTTGGCATTGAACCAACTTCATGCTGAGTCATTTCTCAAAATGTTTGCTCTAGTGGGGTTTCACCTGCCCTATACAATCACTAGCTTCCCACAAAGAGATGTCATGTCCATTTTTGCAGACATGAAATCGGAGATAAATACTATTCCCAGACGCTAACTACTCTTACTGTTATATTGCAGATCAATGCTACAGCAGAATTCTTAACAAATCGTGGTGTGATTCATGAGTTTATGGGTCAAAAACAGAACGCAATGAGAGACTATCAAGAAGCAATTTCTTTAAACCCCACCTACTCGCTGGCTTACTTTAATGCAGGAAATATCTACTTTCATCACAGGCAATTTTCTCAGGTAATGTGAATTTTCCTTCTCATTTTCTTTTTGACACTAAGTGCTTTCTTCATTACATATAGTTTCAAAATGCAATCCTTATGTCTCAGGCATTCATTAGCTCTTTAGGAGATCTCTTTCCTAAGAATGCTTATAATTATGTATTAAATGTTTACACCTCTGTGGATTTATTCTTCTCATTATTATCAGCCACTCAACACTTGTCCAGTAAACATTGTTTTGGACTTCTCCAGGTGCCTACAGTCTCCTTGCTGTTGATTGTTGCCAGCTTCCTGCCTGGAATTCTCTGCTTTTTGCCTCCATTTAGCAAAATCTCAGACTTTCTTCCAGACTATCTTTCATGATGTGATTGTCTAGCTCATCATAATTTCTACCTTAAGTTTCAGTCATATGAGCGCTTGACTGGGGGTTAGGAGATATGTATGTTACTTCTGGTTTTATGGCAACAATCTTTTTTTCAGCATCAGCTCATAATGTCTGAAATGAAAGTGTTGGGTTAATAGCTGATATTTTTATATTGTGAATTTATTATATTTGAATTGTAATGCATTGCATGAGTCAAACTATTTTTTGTGTTTTTTAAATCTTTATTTACTCTTTTGTTCTTTATCTTCAATTTTATTATATTCTTTGTCTAATTTTTTGAGTCAGAGCTTAATCTATTTATTCACTCTTTCATTGATATTGTGGTAAGTTGTTAAGGGTTATGCCTTTCCCCCAAGTAATGTTTTCAGCAGTATCGTCTGAATTTTGGTCTTTAATGCTTTTGTCTTCCCAAAATGTTGCACTTGAAATTTTAGCCAAATTTCCCCTTTGATTAAAGGATAAATTGATGGAGCACTTAAAATGTTCAGGAGGGAGGATTTTTATCTTTTCAAATATTGAAATTTATTTTGGGTTTTAATGTGGTCTAATACATGATAACTTTTTTTCTTTAATATTCCAGGGGTCTTCCCAAAAAGAGTTTCTATCATTAGCATATAGTGTTGAAATATATAAGATCTACCTTTTTAATTATATTTTTAAATTAATCTTTCTTCATACTATTTTGTTCATTTGGTTTATCTTATACAGAGAAAGGTTTATTCAAGTATCCTATAATTAGTGTGACCCTATGTAGGTTTCTTTATATCTCTTTCGTTCTTGTTTAGTGGCTGAGTTGTGTCCAACTCTTTGTGACCCCATGCAGTATGGCCCTCCAGGCTCCTTTGTCCATGGGATTTCTCAGGCAAGCATACTGGAGTGGGTCGCCATGCCCTCCTCCAGGGGATCTTCCCAACCCAGGGATCAAACCCAGGTCTCCCACATTGCAGGCAGATTTTGCACTGTCTGAGCCACCACGGAAGTTCTTTGCTATGAAGAACAATAAAAGGACCCTTTAGTATCTTTCCCTCTTACTTCTCCCTCTCACACATTAGTCACTTTTAGTTAATAGTTTTCTCTTTTAAAAATGTTTATATTTATATCCTTAAATATGCGTGAGCTTGTTCCGTCAACTTGTCATGTTAACTTGCTTTCCATTCTCTCTGTATTTTCCCATTTTGTTGTCCTTCATTATTCCTATGATGCCAGAAGATTTAATATTTGCATACTATTTTGTTATCCTTATTTTTTGTTTTAGTTTTAGTTCTTCAGTTAAATATATTTAATTCTCTTCACCAGGCTTTTTGCCAAAGTTTCCCTTCTAACCAATCATTTTTTGGTGCTCTGAAATTAGTCTTCTAGTGGAGTCCTGGGGACTTTCCTGAGTCAGGAATGGTAAACAATCCACCTACCAATTCAGGAGACTGGGTTCAATCCCTGTGGCAGAAAGATCCCCTGGAGAAGGAAATGGCAACTCCCCCCTGTATTCTTGCCTGGAAAATCACATGGACAGAGGAGCCTGGTGGGCTCCATCCAGTCCATGGGGTCACAAACAGTTGGACATGACTTAGTGATTGAACCATAACCACAACAAATAGAGTCTTGAGAAAGGGTTCACATTCCTTGAATTGTTTCATGTTCACAGCTGTTAGCCTGCAGCCTTTATGTCTTAAGACAGCATGTCTGGATTTCGTATCCTTGACTCACTTTTTCTTTCCTTGAATGTCTTGCGTCTTTCACTATTTTTTAGTGTTATGTATGTTGGTACCTAAAGTCTGATGCAAACCTGATTTTTGTTGTTGATGACTTCTTTTTGTCAGAATCACCAAAGTTTTTTGTTTTTGTTTTTATAAATGAAAAGTTTTACTCAAGTATTTGTTAAAATTGACCTTTTGGGGTCAATTATAAGTACAGAGTATGCATTTTCAATATTTAGATTCCAGAAAACTTGCTGAATTCAGTGTAAGAATTTTTCAGTTTCACTCTTTTGATTTTCTTCAATGGCACTGAATACCAATTATTGTAAATGGGATGTATTTGGACTTCTATATGCCAGTTATTTTTTTCAGCAATTTTTTTTCTCTTAATTTCTGTTTCCTTTTTTTTTTTCATCTCTCTCCTAAATCTTGGGCTTTCCTGATGGCTCAGACAGTAAAGAATCTGCCTGCAGCCTAGGAGACTTAGGTTCTGTCCATGGGTTGGGAAGATCCCCTGGAGGAGGGCATGGCAACCCACTCTAGTATTCTTGCCTGGAGAATTCCATGGACAGAGGAGCCTGGTGAGTTACAGTCCATGGAGTCACAAAGAGTCGGACACGACTGATCAACTAACACTTTTTAAATCTTTACTGTGTTTTCTATTTGTTATTTCCTTGTGGACCTTATAATTCAGGTTTCTTTAAAATTCTTTTCCATGCCATTTCCATGCCATATCTTCCTGGCAACCTCTTTTTTAAGATAGATTATTTATTTATTTAATTTTTAAAAAAATTAAATGCAATTTCTTACCTATTTTTTCTAGTTCATTTTATAATGTTGTAATTTTTATCTACAGTGTAGCAATACTTTTTTCTGGTCACTTTTATTTTATTTCTAAAACTCTATTAATCTTTTATTTTTGGTTTTTACAATGAAGGCAGGCAAATTACTTTTCTCTTACTTATATTTGAATGAGATAATTTTTTTCCCCTGGACTAAAAGCAGAGATTCCTGTGGGAAACAGGGTGATGGTCCATGGTAACTTTCTGAGTTGAGCTACCTCTGATGCTATTGCAAAGGACTTTACAGTCTGTTCTGTTTAGTGTAGCCTGGTTTAGGAAGACTTTTACCACAAGCTCTATGTTTCTCAGAACTTCTCACAGTCCTTTCTTCTAAGATAGCATACTCATCTTAAAAAGTTGTTTTTATTGCTTGCATTTTCTGAGATCTATAACCTCTGTATTCTCCTCTACCACCCGATACTGTCACCATACCCCTTAAAAGTGATCTTTGGGACACTTTTACCTACTGGGACACCTTTATCTACAGTCCTTTGCATTTTGCTGGAAAAGTTGAGTAAGTACTTCCTGATTCCACTTAGCTCTTCATTCTTTCAAACTCCTTATGTTTATAATGTACCTGCCGTCTGCTAGGAGTTAATGAAGACCCTCAGGATACAGAGCTAAATGAGACAAGGAAGACTTCTTTTATGATGTAGTTTACATTTTATTGCAGGAAGAAATCAAAAATAATATTAGTAGTGATAAACATCTAATACCACCTCATATAAGCAGTACTATATCAGTGTTAGCATGTGTGTGGGACTATAGGAGGTTACCTGGGTGGATAATGTAGGTGGAGAGGAGGGGTTTAAGGAGCAAGCCCTGGGGCAACATCAGTGTTTAGAAGTGAGGCAGAGAGGAGATGCCAGAGTGTAGACCGAGAAGGGAGTATCCAGCCAGGGTGATGGTAAGAAAAGCAGGAGAGCACATATCACCTCAGGAATAAAGTGCTTTCAGAAATGTGTCCTGTGTCAAATGCTGCTGAGAAGTTCAGGAAAGGGAGGTTGGAGTGAATCCTTGATGACTTTGGTAAGAACATCATTGGAGTAGCAATGGCACCAGAGCCTTAAAGGGAAAGGGTTTTGGAGAAACGTGAGGTGAAGAATTAGACAGTTCAACTAGTTCAAGAAACTCTCCTGTGAAGAGAAGTAGTGAAATGGGGGTGATGGCTGGAGTGGAGTAAGGTGGTGTTATTTTTAATTTTTTAATTGATTCATGTTCCTATGTTAATGAAAGAATCTGGTGGAAAAGGAGAAATTGTTGGTTCAGGAGAGAGTGATAGGGATAATTAGAATCAAAATCTCTGAGGATTTGATGGGGCTTAAGTTTGAAAGTTCCAGGGGTGGCCTTTGAAGAGAGCAGGTCACACTATCCATTATGTCGTGAAGGAACGCAGAGAGTACAGAAGAGAGTACCGCTGCTGTAGATGGATAGATTTTTTTTTCAAGTTGCTTTTTATTTATTTTTTATTGCACTGGATTTTTGTTGCTTTGTGCAGACTTTCTCTGGTTGAGGTGTTCAGTCACTCAGTCGTGTCCGACTCTTTGCAACCCCATGGACTGCCCCATGCCAGGCCTCCCTGTCCATCACCAACTCCTGGAGTTTGCTCAAACTCATGTCCACCGAATCAGTGATGCCATCCAACCATCTCATCCTCTGTCATCCCCTTCTCCTCCTGCCTTCAATCTTTCCCAGCATCAGGGTCTTTTCATATGAGTCAATTCTTCACATCAGGTGGCCAAAGTATTGGAGTTTCAGCTTCAGCATCAGTCCTTCCAATGAATATTCAGGACTGATTTCCTTTAGGAAGGACTGGTTGGATCTCCTTGTAGTCCAAGGGACTCTCAAGAGTCTTTTCCAACACCACAGTTCAAAGGCATCAATTCTTACGTGCTCAGCTAGTTGCGATGAGTGGGGGCAGATCTTCATTGTGGTTTGCAGTCTTCTCACTGCCATGGCTTCTCTTGTTGTGGAGCATGGCCTCTAGGTGTGGGGGCTTCAGTAGTTGTGGTGTGTGGGCTCCACAGCTGTGGCTCGCTGGCCCTAGAGCACAGGCTCAGTGGTTGTCGCACCCAGGCTTAGGTTCTCCTTGGCATGTGGAATCTTCCCAGACCAGTGATGGAACCCATGTCTGCTGTCTTGGACAGTGGGCTCTTATCCACTGCACCACCAGGGAAGTCTGATAGGTAGATTTTGATAGTAGGCATTTCTATTTATTGTTTATAGTTTTTCCATGAGATATGCGTATCATTTACCAGTTAAGAGTGAGGATGGATAGGTAAAAAGGGGAATGTGTAGCTAGGAGTTTTGAAGAGGAAAGAGAACATGTGAAATAATTATTCTAGAAAGTGGTAGTGTGAACATTCCAGGGAAGTATAGTAGGACTACCAGACAACTATAAGCTCTCGTTTGAAGTTTGTGGTTAAATTTAAAGTGAGATCTTGACTCTGTACTGCTTTGTATATGATTCTTTCTATACAAATTCAGTATGGCCTTGTGTCACTCCACAACCATTTCTCTGAGTTAGTCTCTTATCTCCTCATTCCAGTTAAGCTCTTTAATGCCAGGAATCACACTCCTGTCTCTTCTCCTATATTTCCTTACTCAGAAAGCCCGTCCATACCCATGACTTATGCTGCATGTCAGCCTCTACCTTTCTTCTGAGCTCCTAACCCATACTTGTCAGTTGCTAAAACCGGATGCTTTATAAGTGCATTAGAGTCAAAACTGAATTAATCTCTGTGTCTTCTACACCCCAACCAGCTCTTCTTCCTAAAAACCCTGTCTCAATTCAAGATGTCATTCCGTAGAGTTACCTGAGTAAACATATTGCATCAATCATAATTTTTCTTCCTCAGCTTCATCTAATCAGTCATCTAATTCTGTCAGTTTTGCTTCTTAGTTTTTTTTTTTTTCACACATGCCATTTCCGTTCTATTTCTACTGCGATTGCATTAGTTTCATTCTTTCCCAAGGTAGATCAGTTTGCTTGCTGACCCCTATGATGAGACTGGTTGACATCAGAGGTGAAGGTAGATACTGGGACAGAGAATTATCAAAGATATTATTGTGTAGGGCATGAATGAGATTGTCATAGCTCAGATCTCAGATAGCTGGGAGTTTAATGTCTTCTGAGGCTGACAGTCAGGGTAAGTTACCTTAAACTTTGTCAAGCTCAGACTACTCTCCATCTGGGTTTTGGCAATGTTTCTGTGTGATAGAGAGTTAGTTAATGAGATTAAGACATACACAATGCCCAGGGCAATTTTCTGTTTCCATAACTGGTTATGGTCCGTGTAAGAAGGAAGCACTCACATTTTAAGCTTATTTGTCCTTAATAACTCTATGGATATCATGTATAAGACTGTTTGGTTAGATCTAAAGTGTAGTTTGAACTTTTGATCATTTTTTTAAGTATGGCTCTTTTTCCTCCAAACTGGAGGCACATCAGCTGGGCAAATATTTGATCTAAAATATATTCTGTCCTCTGTCTTGATATACTGGATACTTGGGCTTTGTAGTGTGTGCTCCCTTCAGAAATAAGCAGACTTTGAGAGTGGTTTATTCGGCTATTTTTGTATGCTCTGTTTTTTTGTGGAGAAAATTCTTCTATTTGTTGTACACCTTCCAACCCATTTTATTTCTGACTATGAATAGAAGATTTAGGGCCAGGAGAAAGGGTCTTTCAGTAAACCAAATAATCTCTAGAGGGTTAAGACATGTATGTGTTCTGGCTTCTTTTGTGATTACTTAGTAGCTTAATGGCTTTAAACCACATTTGGATGCATCATGGACTACATACAGGTGACTTTTCAATAATAACTGAGTCAGCCTTCTAATTAATTACAGGTATGAGGGAACTTACAGGTAGGGTTCTGAACTAATTTTAGTTTTAGGGATAGAGTCTATTGAAATTCGAGAAACACAATTTTAATCAGAAAGCATCTAGAAGCTAGTAAACAAGCCCTGGCTTCCCAGGTGGCACTAGTGGTAAAGAACCCTCCTGCCAGTGCAAGAGACAGAAGAGATGTAGGTTCAATCCCTGGATCAGGAAGATCTCTGGAGAAGGAAATGGCAGCCCACTCCAGTATTCTTGCCTGGAGAATCCCATGAACAGGAGCCTGGCAAGTTACAGTCCATGGAGTCGCAAAGAGTTGGACATGACTGAAGTGACTTCAGTCAATCCTAAACGAAATCAGTCCTGAATTTTCACTGGAAGGACTGATGCTGACGCTCCAATACTTTGGCCACTTGATTTGAAGAATTGACTCATTGGAAAAGACCCTGATGCTGGGAAAGATTGAAGGCAGGAGGAGAAGGGGACGACAGAGGATGAGATGGTTGGATGACATCACCAACTCGATGGACATGAATTTGAGCAAGCTCTGGGAGTTGATGGACAGGGAAGCCTGGCATGCTGCAGTCCATGGGGCTGCAAAGAGTTGGGCATTACTGATTGACTTATCATGCACACACATGTGCATGAGGAAATTAGACAAGTTGTTAAATCAAGGCCATTCACTGTGGTAGGCATCTTTGTCCTCTAACTACTCCATGGGTGATAATACTCCTGCTCTAGTAACCTCATTAAATATATAGGCTTTCACTTCCTAAGTAGTATATATTTAAAGCTGTAATAGAAAGTTATATTGTTCACAGTTAGCCATATTATAGTGTTTTACTAAGTTCATTTATTTTAGCTGAGGTAGGTGTTAGCGCCTACCTGACTGAAGTCATCCTTTTGTGATTCTGAATTGTGTAATTTTTATTGATGACTTATTGGTTAGTTAAAATGAAACTTAAATTACTTTTTGAAGGAAGTCTTGGCCCTGCTTTGAGTCATTTCCTTGCCTCATTTGTAATGACTGTGAGTCCAGCCTCCTGTTCAGGAGTGAATTCTTTAAGCTTTTCACAGAGTAATGTCAATTCTGCTGCCTTTTTCAGGGATCCTTAAATTGCACTTAGCCACAGCACAGAACAGCTCCCATTCTGGGATGAGATGGATTGCACAATCTTGATCTAATTGCTTCTCAAAAGTCACAAACAGTAAAATTCATGGTGTATTGCCTGAGGGCTATGATCTGATTTGCAGATACTGGAAAAAAAAAAAAAAAGATGTATCAGTATAATTGAGTCTTTACTATATTCTACATATTGTTCTCAGTACTTTACCTGTTAGCTCACTTATCTGTCATAGCAGCACTGAAAGTAGAGTTTGATTTTTTGCTTCCATTTTACAGATGTGAGAAATCAAGTCAAAGAGTTGAGGGCATAGAGCTAATATGTGGTAGGTCTGGCCCTGAGGTCTGGGCTCCTGGCCACCAGGCTCTCAGTGTTTCGCTTCACCCACAATGGAAGTGAACTGAGAAAAAAATCCCCGGGAATTATAAAGAAAAATAGTTCAATGAAGAAGACTGATAGAAAATGATCAGAGAGGTAGGAGAAAACGAGGGAGACTCCCTGTTTCAAGGGCAAAGAGAGTTTAAAGGGGGAAGGAAAGACCAAGGACATCTGTGCCACAGAAATGCTGTGGAAAGAAAGGTCTAGAAAATGTCTGCTGGACTTCACAACGCCCTTAGCCTTACCAAAAACTGACCTCATGGAAAGAGGGAGATAGACAGAAGCCAGACTCTGGTGTGCTGGGGGAAAACTGAGTGCTAAAGGAATTGGATTCAGCAAGCTGTATTGTTAAAAATGACTTTTCCTAATTTAGAGAGGTTTCAAATTTTTTTTGAAACTGTGGCGCGCTGAGGGAAAATTGAGTGGTAAAGGAATTGGATTCAGCACGCTGTATTGTTAAAAATGACTTTTCCTAATTTAGGGAGGTTTTAACTCCTTTGAATTCAAATTCAAATTCAAATTTTTATCCATTCTCTAACTAGAGAAGAGATTCCTACCTTGAGTAGTAGCGTGTCTAATCAGCATCTCAAGCTATTTGTGGTGAAGGAGCAGTTTTTAAGATTTTTCTAACTTACTTAAGACCTCAACACCGGTCTATGGACCACACTTTGCAGGGTCCTTTCTATCTTGAGAATTTGTTGTGAAGCATCTGGAGTCTTGGATCTTCTTGAAAAGCTGATTTTTAATCTTCTCTCTTCTTTCCTTATAGCTTTTCATAGTATAACTGTGTTTTTAAACCTTTTTAGTGTGGTTTAGAACTTTATTTTCAAAGTTCATTTCTCTCTTTAGTCCTTACTCTGCTTTTATATGAAAAGTGTTTGTTTTCTAACTTATGTTTTATTTTCCTGTTGTGACCTTTTTCCCTAACTTATAGTGTTGTACAGGGATATGGGATTTGTGTGTGTGTGTGTGTGTGTGTGTGTGTGTGTGTGTGATGGGGGCATAGACAGCAGGGGGAGGTGGTAGGAGAACAGTTCACTTCAGCAGAGAGGAGTATTTTATCTGTGACACTATCTAAAACTGCTGACACAGGATGATAATACAAAACAGACCAACTATTGGTTGGTTTTATTATCATCTTTTACATTCTCTGCAAATACTGTACCTTCTTATCATCTGTATCTGATACAGATCGCCTGAGTTTTATAGTAAAAGTGTTTCAAATTGCTGTATGGCTGCCAGTTAAAATATATTCAGATTGTCATTGTCTTCACATTTCTATAGGCTAGTGACTACTTCTCAAAGGCTTTAAAGTTTGATCCAGAAAATGAGTGTGCTGCCATGAATCGAGCTATTGCAAATACAGTATTAAAGAGATATGAAGAAGCAAAAGAAGATTTTGCATATGTAGTTGAAAGCTGTCCATCATGGGCTGCGGTATATTTTAACAGAGCATACTTCTACTGTTGTTTAAAGCAATATGAACTGGCTGAAGAAGATTTAAGTAAAGGTATATATTTTTGGTGATTTTTTTAGTAAGATTACAATGTTTGAATTGTTTTTAGATGACAAAAGAAGAAAGGCATCAGGTCTATTTGCTTAGATAAATTTACATTAGAATTAATGGTTTTATATATCTTATCTTTAATATAATCAATATGGATTTGTTTATGTAATAACTTACAGCATTAGTATGCTAAAATGTAGAAAATTATTAGGGAAACCATACACAAATATTGCTCGACTTTCAAAAAAGACATTGTACTGTGTTTCTAGAGTTACTTTTCGTAGAAAGATTCAAATGTAACTAAATAATGTACATATGAGGAAAAATGTTTTCAAATAGGTAATACTAAAGTATTATTTTATTTTTATAATTATATACTATTATTTACTAATAACAACATAGTAATAATAAAGTATTATTATAATTTATTATAAAATTTGTTTTTAAAAGATGAGAGTCTTTTTAAGTGCTCACATAAAACATACCTTGAAAAATTTTTTTCTTTTACAGCATTGTCTTTGAAACCTAATGATGCTCTAATATATAATCTTAGAGCAGAAGTTCGTGGTAAGATAGGTCTGATTGAAGAAGCTATGGCTGACTATAACAAAGCACTTGATCTTCAAGAACATGCCTCGGTGGTATGAGTACATAGACCATGGATTCTGTAGCAATTTACAGTTGTTCTTCCAGAAATTGAAACCTGTTTGTTGCTTTTAAAAAAGTTTTCACTATCTTCATTGTTGTATTCTTTGTGTTAGTCTTTTATATAATCCTTTAATGCATTTTAACATCTTTATATATTAATTATAAAACTTTTAGGTAATTTTCTGCAGATTTGTAACAACTCTAAAATGAATTTTTTTCACAAGATTAGAATTTAAATGAGAATGTTTCTCAAGGGTCCTAGAAACACAATATTTTCTTTAAAGTAAAATAATTCCTTTAAAAATAATACTGCATGATTTTAGAAAAAGGATCATTGACATTTTCATCAGTACCTAGATGTATTCAACAATATCCAGATTAAAAAAAAAATAGAGAGCTGATGACTATAAAGAAATTAAAGTCAAGCACATTTCCTTTGAACAATATCTACACAGGTCTGAATTCTTCCTAGTACTTATATTGTTCCAACACATAAACACATTTTTCTTTTTCATGTAGCCTCCCTCCCAGGACAGCGCCTAAGAAGATTTTGAGCATCTACCTCTTTAATGCAAATTTTATAAACATATATGAAAATCTGTATATACTTATAATTAGTGCATCATACAACTTGACAAGCAAGAATACATTAAAACAGCTGCTGCTGCTAAGTCGCTTCAGTCGTGTCTGACTGTGCGACCCCATAGACGGCAGCCCACCAGGCTCCCCGACCCTGGGATTCTCCAGGCAAGAACACTGGAGTGGGTTGCCATTTCCTTCTCCAGTGCATGAAAGTGAAAAGTGAAAGTGAAGTTGCTCAGTCATGTCCCGACTCTTCGCGACCCCAAGGACCACAGCCTACCAGGCTCCTCCGTCCATGGGATTTTCCAGGCAGGTGTACTGGAGTGGGTTGCCATTGCCTTCTCCTTAAAACAGCTAAAATTTCTTAATAGAATATTTCTTTAGTGAAGCAGAGAGCCCTTTTCCTTTATCTCACTGGTAGTAACAAGGTTTCCTGACTTACACACTCCTTTGGATTTGCTCCACTCAGTTTGTTTCCTTCTGTGTCTCATTCTTCCAGTACGTCTCCAGCTCCTCAGAGACTTGTTTTCAGTGTGATGAAACTTTATGGCAACAAAAAAATACCCCCATCTACTCAGTTGCCTTGTTTTCCATTTGAGGTACCAGAGTTTCACAGTAGAAAGTTGATTTTAAGTCAGAAGCCACTGTGAGGCTGCTTCACACTCTTTTAGGATAGTTTCCTTGGCATGGTACATGGGTTCATGTGAGGACTGGGCCACGCCTAGTATTTCAGTGGATGACTCAGCCACCTTTAATAAGCCTCTTCACATCCTCTTGTGCTCACTTGTCTCCAGAACCTTTAGTCCCAGCCTGGACGCTGATGAGATCAGAACAACCTCATGCACCCCACTGACAGACCCTCATCTCATGCCCCAGCCACACATCTCTCACCTACGGCCCTGGGGCATCTCCATTAAAAGCTGAGGAGTGGCCTGCTAGCAGTGGCAGTGCTGGGCCACATGCCCAGTGGATGTGCAGGGGACCCAAGTCCCTGTCAAATGAACTTTTGATGATGAGAGAGAAAAAACTAGTGAATCAGCTCCTTTCCATCTCTTGGTGAAGTGTTCTGAGATACTCCATCTATACAGCCTTCTGTATCACTCACCTGGGAGATTAAAATGGTACCCAGCTTCCAGACGTATCCTGCACTGGTGCTTTTGACTTCTCTGGCTTGCATGCTTCTGTTTCTCCCCCTGCTTTTCTGGGTTTGCACTTCTTGATAAAGTCATTGCCCAGAAACATTTGCCTCTGGCTCTGCTTTCTGAGACAACCCAGGCTGAGACAATTAGTAATTTTTTTTTTTTTTTCTGATTACACACAAATCCTTATAACATGAGGCAGGAATGATAAAAACCAAGGACCATGATAGCATAATGGAGCAAATTATATCTAATGTGCCAAAATGCTGCAGGTCCTGGGTCCATATCCCCTGCGGACCCAGAGTTTCTGTCTGTACTGATCTCCAACCTCTTGCACAAACCTATAGTTTTCCACCTGAGGCCTTTCTCTCAGTCCACACCTCAGTTAAGCCACTGGGCCAGGCTAGGTAGAGTGTTCCATGCCTCACAGTCATTGTTTTGCTTTTTTACCTATGCCTTGTAAGGTAGCAGGTTTCATTGCATGAGGAAACTGAGGCTCGGAAGGATGAAATTATGTGACCAGCTAGTAAATGGTGGAGCTGAGAGTCAGCCTCTGTTCTAGTTTAAAAATCTCTACTCCTCCTGCTCCTTTTCACCTAGAGAGAAATAAAACAAGATAAACTCGCCCAGAAAATAACCTTTATCATTGTGACATTAAAGCTCTCTGTCTGCCTAATGATTATTAGTACACAAAAAGGATTTCCAGTCTTTCAGTTCAGTTCAGTCGCTCAGTCGTATCCAACTCTTTGCGACCCCATGAACCGCAACACGCCAGGCCTCCCTGTCAATCACCAACTCCTGGAGTTTACTCAAACTCATGTTCATCAAGTTGGTGATGCCATCTAGCCATCTTATCCTCTGTTGTCCCCTTCTCCTCCTGCCCCCAATCCTTCTCAGCATCAGGGTCTTTTCCAGTGAGTCAACTCTTCACATGAGGTGGCCAAAGTATTGGAGTTGCAGCTTCAGCATCAGTCCTTCCAATGAACACCCAGGACTGATCTCCTTTAGGATGGACTGGTTGGATCTCCTTGCAGTTCAAGGGATTCTCAAGAGTCTTTTCCAACACCACAGTTCAAAAACATCAATATTTTGGCGCTCAGCTTTCCTCACAGTCCAACTCTCACATCCATACATGACCACTGGAAAAACCATAGCCTTGACAGACCTTTGTTGGCAAAGTAATGTCTCTGCTTTTTAATATGCTATCTACAGAGGATGAGATGGCTGCATGGCATCACCAACTCAATGGGCATGAGTTTGAATAAACTCTGGGAGTTTGTGATGGACAGGGAGGCCTGGCGTGCTGCGATTCATGGGGTCACAAAGAGTCGGACACGACTGATCGACTGAACTGAACTAAACTGATGTTGGTCATAACTTTCCTTCCAAGGAGTAAGCGTCTTTTAATTTCATGGCTGCAATCACCATCTGCAGTGATTTTGGAGCCCCAAAAAATAAAGTCTGACACTGTTTTCCCATCTATTTCCCATGAAAGTGATGGGACCAGATGCCATGGTCTTAGTTTTCTATCCAGTCTTTAAGAACACTTATTTTTTAAGAACATTTCTTTTGGACTGGCGTATATGTGTATTTATTTTTGTCTTTGATAGTAGTAAGTATGATGAGAGTAGTAAGATTATCTAGAACTTTTAATTTGAAATACAGTCAGTGGGCAACATGTCACATTTTGCCTTTGATGGTACAGGCCAAATAAGAATGACAGTAGAAAGGTCAGCATGTAGGCAACAAGAAAGGGGGGAAGAAAAGGAAACCTTTGTCTGCTAAAAACCTACTCAGTACCAGAAACTCATCTATGGCTTAAGAACATTTTCATTTCAGCATTATAAATGAGGCAAGTCTTATTATTCCCATTTTACAGGAGAAAAATATGAAGTAGAGAAATTAGTTTAGAACACCCTTGGTGTAATGTTGTTATCCAAACTTAGTTTTATTTATGTAATATATTGCTTTAAGTTGACTTGCTAGAATCAATTTAATTTATTTAGCAATAAGGAATTTGTAAAAAAAGAAAAAAAGCATAATTATTAATGTTTGTTACTTGTTCTACCCACAGAAATCTTTTTGCACCCCTGTTCCTTGTATCACATTATAAGAAACATTGTCCTCTATTTCTAGGTGGGTGCAGCTGGAAGAGACATCACAGTGAGGGAGGGAAAAACATCTAATGCCTCTGCATGAACAAGAGCAGAAGTTGATTTGTGCCTGGACAGACAGATCGGAGCTAGAAGCAATATAACCTTGAGCTTCGAGAGTCTATCTACCTGCTTAGCAGGAAGATCTCACTCTCCGAGGTTCCCCAGTGGCTTAAAAATGTTTTGATAGTTAATGTTTAAGAATCACTGATTCCCCAAAATAGCAGGCATTTTGACCATTTACTGTTCGACATCCAATGTTCAACATCTCTTCTCCTCATCCATCTTTGCCTGGGGAATTTATTCTCAAGAAGAGATTTCCTCTCCCCCGGAGCGTGGTTTAGATCTTTTTTCTCTTTACTTCCACGGCACTGCTATCTACTCTTTTAGAGCACCCTTCATATCTGTAGATCCCAGATTGTCTTCCCCACTAGACTGGAAACTGCGAGGGCAAGGATTAGGCCTATCTCATTCACCATGGTGTTGCCAATGGTTTTCACAGTTCCTAGCACATAGCTGGTGCTTCATAAGTATTTGCTGAATTTCCCTAAATAAAATGCAAGTCTGGATGCTCACATTGCAAGCCATTATGACCCAACACCATACTATTCATTTCTATGATAAAGTGGACATCTGTGAGATTCTAGGCATAGCCTCTTAAAGGTCAAAGCAGTGACTGCATTCATCTTCAGTGCAACCTATTTAACATCTGTGAGTAGAACTGTAAGATGAATAACTTAGAAAATAAATTAGGAAAAACCAAGATGTAGTGAATGAGCTCAGTCTGCTGTAAAATAACAAGTACGTAGCTTAAAAACAATACTGTCAAGGTGATGAGGGTGAAACGTCTGAAATTATGATGTATTAACATCTTAAGCTAATCACTGTAATTTTTATAATTGGATGATGCTATGATATAATCAAGCTGTAACCCAATCAAGTAAAGTGAATAAGAGCTATAATAAATTTTAAATTTCCTTTTTATAAAAAGAAATCTTGCAGTAATCAAAGGGAGTATGGTGGATATTGAACCTAAAATTGGGGCAGGGAATGGGCAGAGGGCAAACATTTATATGCTTGTTCCTGGCTCTATCTGCTGAACTAGTGCTCCAAAGAGTTAATAGGAACAATCTTTTGACTTCTTGTTAGTTAATCCCCATAAAGTAAATGGATTGTACCATTGTCATAGTTTTAATCCACTAAACTGTTAAGGTAATT